ATTCCTGCATGGTTATATGCAATAGGGAGTGTACACACAGAAATGAAGACTCGCATATTTGAATATAAATCTAAATTACTACATATTATCTTTATCTTTATACTGCACGTTTGTAACGTCAATTTTCATTGGATGATCGTGACGTTTATATTGACAGGTTATATGGCCCTTTATAAACGGTTGTTTGGGATTATAACACAGGCCGCTAGGCGAGGGTTATATTGCAAACAACCGTTTATATACGGCCATATGACCTGTTAGAAATTATAATACAGCCAGCATCATTTCTAGTGAGAAAAGTGAGATTTCTTTATAAATTGACAGCAGCTGTGTATAAAAAACTACTCTCAGAGGCACTTATAACCCGACACTTACATTTTTCTGTATTAATAGGTCATTTGTGGACATATTTTGTTCAAATGTGGGCCATAAGAAATTCAACATATCATACTTACAACGTAGAATTTTATTACAATTCATAGACAAGAAAATAGAGAAATAAAAATTTATACAATTGTATCAAAATAGGATTTACAGCGCATGTGAATATGTTAAGGACAGACGGACGGATAAATAGACGTAAACGATACCAGTTACCTACCAAACATTGGTTTTGATCTTTTAAGTCAATTTTGTCGGTCAGGCATTTGTAACCTTGTTTATAGCCTTGAAGTAATCTTTATATTTAGAACGCGTTTATATGTCGCCCCAAACGAACTATTCCCTTCTTTTTATTATTTATTAGTCATTACATCTTTGTTATGCATGTCAAGATCACCATAAACTTTTGTTACAGTACATCTGTTCAAAAATGAGTTAATTGCGTTTTAAATACTGGATAATTATACTAAAAGGAACGTTATCTTCTTTAAGTTACCTTGTTGTGAAATTTGAATAATGCCGCGGCCCTGTTTTAAATAATAGACGCATTTCCCTTTGTAGTACAATACAAGGTATACAACGCCTATTCGTGAACGTATCGGCATTTTCCAACTCGATTCGATAAGCTTTGATTAGGAACAGTTCGTTTGTAATTTTAAGATAAATTAGTAAAAATTAAGCTAATAATAGTATTAGATAGTCTGGTTCTAAAGTATTTGCATAGGTGCTATAGTCTTGAAAATGTTAAACAGCTTATAACAATAAAATAAATAAATAGATAAATAAATAAATAAATAAATAAATAAATAAAATTATAAGCATGTCTTTAAACAATGATATGAAAACATATCATGATGCTTTTAATTGCTGAACAAGATGCAACTGTTTAAAATTGATATAAAAATGTGATATCATGTAGAATTTATTCGCGTTTGCAATTTTGCAAAATTAGTCAGAACGTATACTATGAGATTTTTATACATTGTTGAGCACAATACTGAATTTTATTGTGCGGTCACACACCCACATAAAACTTTATTGTATGAAGCGACGCTGGCCGAGTCCGATATTGGTTTTGCAGCTGTGTAATGAGTCCAAGAGAGTCAGTATTATTTTCAATCACGTATAATGAACTTCTTATTAAACACCACTATTTACTTTTGGAAATTTTGACTGAACTTTGTTGCAACAAGTACAAAAACGGATTTGATATAGATTTTTGGACTCTCGAAAATGAAAACGAGGCAATATAGAGTATGATATGCACTTGATATAGATTTTGGATTGATTATGAAGCTATATATTGAGTACGATATGGATTTGATACTTTCTATTTGGACCCAGGAAATGAAACCTATATAGGCTTAATTGATAAAATCGGATCTTATAATGATTTATATTGGAACATATGGCGGTGCAAACGCCGAAAATGCATTGGTTATTTTTAATTATGTGTGAAATTAAATTGGCTCTTAAACATATATTATTATGGTAGGCCCTAATATATATTAACAATATTCATTCTTATGATAAAATCACATTATTCAAAGTTATTTTGCAGCTGTGAATGATTTTAGTTTTTATTTGAGAATAAATAAATATTTCAAAATAATTTCTCCCAAGGGCATGACTCATCTCCGTTTTCTTAAAATCATAACGGATTTAACAATTCTAAAAAGAGTAATATAAAATAAACTTAGTTCATTGTATTTATTCACTTAAAGTTATGAAAATTCGAATTTAATCTAAATTATGAAGCGCGTCGTTTATATCTTTCGACTTTTATTTTAATTCATCTTTAAGTTTTAAAAAAATAAACTTTGAAATTGTTTGTTAGATTAAGTTATTTTTTCCTGTTTTGTTCATATTTCGAACTTCTCCCCGCTGTTTAGTATTGGACAGTTGATATATTGTGTGTAAATACCGTAAACTGACGTGATTTTTGTTTATTTACCGCTCAAACGAACGCATGAAAGACTAATTGTTTTATTGCGTTATTTTTGTATCAAAGTATCAGATAAACAATCATTTGAAATAGATATCAATCTGGAATAAACAAATGATAACTCGATGATGTTATTTTTGGTATGATTTAGTAACTTATCCCCAAATCCCGTATAGTGTTCTTACAAATTGATAACAAAGGTTATGCGGTAAAATACCAAACATATTTTATTTTGTAAAAAAGCTAGAACGTGCATTTTAAATGTAAAATAAAGAAATATTATTTTAAGATTAAACAATGAGAAAATACCTTGCCATCACGAAGTACGTGCGTTAATTATTAGTGTTTTTGAGATGTTATTGATATGCGAGACGGTAAACCAGCCATATTTAACCTTACACCAAACCAGCCGTATGTCGCCGTGCCTCAACTCAACCACATATGTGGGGTCAGGCTGACATCATTAATAAAATGGTATAATTTTCCGCTTGTGACAGACAATATTTTACAAAGAGTGGTATAACACGATTACCTAGGCGCTGCCTGTTTCTGATAACATGCATAGAATGGTATAACTCTAAATGTAATGTAGCAATAGGCACAATGCGATGTTAGCCCATTTCTAATATGCGACCCATGTCCGACAATATGCATTTAATGATAACTTTCCACTAGCTATGCGCTGCTAGTGCACTGTCAATATGATATGCATAGAGTGATGCTATAAGAATCTTACACCGGCTGCCGGTACAGACCGGAATATCTAGCTCGAGGGTAACTGTTTACAGCGGTAACGAGGCTCTGCCGAGTTTCCGCTAAACAGTTACCCGAGAGCTAGATATTCCCGTCTGTACCAACAGCCGGTGTTTGATTCTTTTTCTTGCATATTACATGTTAATTATTTTCGGAACAGAAATTATAAAAACTGATATTCTCATTACTCACTTTTTTCTTATAGTAGCGTATGAACATAGAACTTCATTCATAACGGAAAAATGACGTCATCCTAAGAACGCGATTCATTCATAAAAGGCGCGCGTCAATGACGTCATTTAAAGCACGCGACTTGTCTTACATGGGGGTGTAAGACAGAGTTTTCGAGCACCGGTGTAAACGGTAGATAAACCTGTCTGATATGCAAGAAATAGTGTGATAACATTCCAGATCGTTGACTTCAAATCACGGCCCTCGGCGCTGTGGGTTTGATTGTTTCATGTGTGGAAGCATTCCAGCTAGTTTACGGAACGTCGGTGGTTCTACTCAAGTGCCAAAACAGATAACATTCTACAGAGTAATATAGCTCCATTACAATTGTACCATCTGTGAATGACAATATGCTAAGACTTGAACAACTCCATAATTAACAAAATGCATATAGTGTTACACGTTCTATGTGCCATTTATAACTAACAATGGGTGCTGAAACCAGATTTTTTGTATGACTTTCCTGACTGACATTATGCCTTGGGCGGTTTAGCCGTCTGTGTCTGCAGTATGCATTTCAAGTGGTTCAAGTCCATTAAATAGGTGCCTATTGTGACTAATAATATACATGCATATGAATTGGTTTAACTCCACTACCTGTGTGCAGTTAATGCTCGTTATCACATCACGTGCACGCGACAAGAACGGACTTCATTTTACTAAACTTTTACTATGCTCATGCCGATTTTCATGAAAATTCTTAAAAAGTAAAATATTGTCAAGTGAACAAAGAATGTATTTATATCATTACAACGACACTTAAAATATACGATTAATACCAAAACAAAATAGGTTAGAAGATGCAAAATAGTCCTTAATGAGTTAGTCACACAGCAGAAATATGGCGATTAATACTGCATGTCATATGCAAAAAAATTCTTGAATTGAATTTTTACTTTTCTTGAAATAATTTGGCTCGTCTGGAGGCATCCAACTTTAACGTTAATTTGATTTTTTTTAATATCTTATTTGCCACATTCGCGATAAAAAGAGTCTCATGTTAAGTCTGGTTGTAACCATTTTAAACTATCCCTGATAAGACAAAGCAAATACTGTAACAACAAAATATTGAAATGAATTTCAATTCTTTTTGCTATATCATTAACCATTTTTTTTTAAAAACGTAAGATTATTATCTTATTAACTAGTTAGACTCTAAAGGTCGAATATATACCTAGTTTTTCCCCCTATTCAATCTCCTGGGTTTAATAAAATCAGCACTTAAAATAGCGAAGTTTTTTTTACAATGAACGCATGTCGTAATAAAAATATCTTCCTTTCACTATTACACAGACTGTTCATATATTCGTCGCTTACTCAGGCTGTAATTTAGTTACCGAAAATGATTTGATTACCCTATTTCTTCAATACCCACTGATATGTAGGAGTTATTTATTTCAAAATTATTTACTAATCGGTAGGTCAAAGGTGTAGTAAACAGGCATTATATACATAATAACAAGGCTTCGTTTATCTTAATTACTATTGTAATAGAATAACTATTGTAATATGAAAAAAAAAATATAATTCCTTTGCATGACATAAAAAGCTCTTTTTCAAAACAACGACATCTAAAATTTCGTTCATTTGTTAAGTCCATCCTTTGGTTTATTGTTTGTGTGTGTCTCATTTGAAATTGCCCGTGCGTTATTAGCCAGTAGGCATGCTTGCGTGCAAAGGAATACTTTTGGAATGTCTTTGTTCTTAGATTACTTGACGACTGATTGATTTATTTAAACTTATAGCCCTTTGATTATATTCTAATATTCCATAGAGTGATGGAGTAAACTAGAAGAAAATTATTTCATATATTAATATGCTACATTTTTCGTTTATTTCGTAATCGGAATTTCGCAAATCAGAAAAAGCTAACTTATTAAAAGTGCAGTGAAAGTATCACCGTCATTGAATAAATAGGGAATTTTTGTTTGTACCTGTGACAGATTTAAAAGGAGTTATAATAATTTCAGGAATGTTTTTATAAAATGAAGAGTGTTTTTTTCGTTATCATTCTCGTTTGGATAAAACCTACAGATGCGCAAAATGGTATACTTCTTTCATTTATTCTTTTCTTCAGTCGTTTTAAGACATATCAATGCTTTAACAGGCCATGTATTAATGTTTATATATTATTCGATTTAACAAATATCCGCACATTTTTTCTCTCAAAATAACAGTAAACATGTGTTTCTGCAAAACAGTTTGTGTCCGAAAGACGGTCCTTATTGTAGGGTTGATGCTAAATAGAGGAGATATTGAAAAGTTTATAATTAGCTTAACATTCAAACTCAGCATCCTTAATCTATTATCTTTTTTCTGTTGAATTATTAAATGTTGGAGTTGTGTATTTGTGAAGATTATTAACTAAAATCAGGAGCCCTGCTTTACGTCTAAAAGTCTTAGTTCGTCGCAACTGCGCGTAGATATCCTGAGAACGGGTAAGCGTTATAGGAACCAGATAATGTCTTAATAATGAAAATAGTTTTATGATGTAAACGCTATAATAACGTTCTTATACTTTAATAAAACTAAAACTTATTGTACGCAAAAATTTCTCTCACGTACAAAAATTCGAGGCAACGCTTCATATCAAACATGTGCTGCCGTATCTATCATCCATTGTGTACACTTTACATGACTCTGTAGATTATCATAGAAGATAAAAAAATGTCCTAATTAATTATGACCATGTCATTATATAAGCTATTAGCTATCAAAATACTACCAGTATCAGCGTAGTGAGAGAGTAGCTAAATTAGCTGGTTGCCATTGTAATTGATGCAAATATGAGTAAAATAGTGCTTAATGTTATAGAAGAAATCCTTTCACTGCGAACCTTATTGAAATATTCATGAAATTGAAAAGATGGATAAAAGAAGTACAAGAAGAACGAAGAAAGAATAGAAAAGAAGAAAGCTAAAAGATAGGAGCGAGAATAGAAAAACCTTTAAAACATCAAAATACAGCATACATATCTGAATTTAGTATGAAACAGAATATTTGATGTAATTCATTTGCATTGTTTCACATTTTGTAAAGTTATTATATTCATCAAATGTTTAATCATAAAACAAAATATTCAAGTCATAAATTGTTTATCAAATTGATGTTTCTAGATTAGGAAACTTAAATATTACAAATCTAGACATTAAACGACTTGTTACGTCATAAATTAGTAAGTCATAAAATTGTTAGGACTTTTAAGACTTTTTTAAACAGCAAGTTTTCAAAATTTTTATATAAACAACTTTAACTAGAAAGTTCTCCATTGATTCGCAGCCCAGGGTCTAAAAGCGTTAAATTCGTTGCAAACTGCCCGCGTAGATATCATTGAGAAACGGGTGTTAAGGTTATAGGGAAAAAGTATAATTGTCTTAAATAATGAAATTATCTTCGATGATGTAAAACGCTATATATTTACAGTTATTTCATACCTAATAAAACTAAAACTGATTTGTACGCAAAAACATTTCTTCACGTACAAAAATTCGAGACAACGCTTCATATCAAATCATGTTGCTTTCGCTCGTATTCCCTAGTGCATCCACTGCGTAACACTTTGAACATGACTCTGTTTGGTATAATACAATGAAGAATAAGAAAAAAATCCTAAATTAATTATGAACCAGTGTACAGTTTAAAGAGCTATTTAGCTATCAAAATACTACAGTTTGGATCAGGTAGTTGAGAGAGTAGCTAAATTAGCTAGGAGTTCAACTGCGGAAAGAGAAGGCTGGCTTAGCGCGATATGCTAACTGAAATGGCAAGATTATGAAGATAAAATAGTGCTTACATGTTATAGATAGAAGTTCCTTTCATTTGCGAAAACCTTTATGACAAATATTCATGAAATTGAAAAAAGATGGAAAGAAAAGAAAAGTAACAAAGAAAGAAAGAAAGAAAGAAAGCAGGAAGACAGAAAAAAGGAGGAAAGAAAATAGAAAAACCTTAAAACATATCAAAATATATCTATAGAAATTTAAGTACTTTAACAATCGAACTTTTTAGATGTCAAATGTCATTTGCAATTGTTTCACATTTTGTAAAGTTATTATATTCATCAAAATGTTTTAATAAATAAAACAAAATGATTGCAAGTTGTCATAAATTGTTTAATCCAAACATCTGATTTTCTAAGAGTTTAAGGGAAAATTAATATTAGATTAACATTAAACGACATCTGTATAACGTCATAAACTTATGTTAAACTCATAAAAAAATTGTTGAACTTGTAAAACTTTTTTAAACAGCAGTTTTATAAAATAAATTATTTATAAAACACTTCGTAACAAAGAAAACTGTTTCTCCCAGTCGATTTTGCCCATGCAAAGAGGTTAAATGCTGTACAAGGGGTCTATTTCATATATAAAAAAACAACACTGTTGTGTTGCTTAATTCATTAATATCTTAATTGAATTTGTCAAACTTAGTATTTTCGGATCTTATTTCGGGCACGCTTTACTAAGTCTTTTGAGTGCGTCCTCCCTTTGCCATAGAGGGGTTTTAATTATCATGTATCGATTTCAAATTAAACGCACTAAAATGAAAATACAATAAAACCCACGAAACGCCCCCCTTTTTATCATTAAATATGTGGTCGTACAACATAATGTTAACCAGGGTTAAAAATTAAATTAGTTTGATAATTTATCATGCTTGTATATTTGTAAGTCACATATAACCTAAAAAACCTGCAATTAAAACTGAAGCATTCCACCAGACACTTAGTATGTTTTGAACCGGACAGATAATTTATTTTCATTTAGGATTTGAAGTGTATAAAGAAACATTTTATAAAAATTAAAGAAATATTGAAAATAAGTTGTTTTCATCACCTTATAGTCGTTCCGTGAAAAATTGGTATTATATAGAATGTCTGTATAATTTAATATGCATGAATATTGTACGTAAACAGAATAAAATGGTCCGGAAGTCAATATTCCCCTGAGCTATATTTAATAGGTTTGCGATGATTTCATGCATGCCCATTAGCTTGAAAAACAATAAAATGCACAGTCAAATATCTTTCATTGAAGTTATTCTGTTATAGTTTAAGAATTAACAGACATCAAATATATAGCTTTATACACTTTAACCCAACCATAATAAGGTCAACTATAATCTAAAAAAGAGATAATATAAAACAAAGTCATATACACGGGGAAAAGCAATCATAAACAATTTTAAATATCAAACATCATTTTGTCTCAGAATACTTTCTCTAATTTACTGAGCACTACAAAAAATCTTTGCAAAGTCTGTCAAAATTATTTACGCCTGCTAAATTCAAAAGTTGCATAAGGTTAAATATACAAGGACGTGCAATAAAATGTTCACTTATTTATCATTTCTTCACAAATTTGTATCTATTAAAAGGAAATGAAATTCGTCGTCAACGTCGCCTTTAAAACACACCTATAATATATAAAAAAAAGTTTGAGGATAGTGTACTGTATATATCAATCTGTATTCTATCTTCGTTGCACTATCCTCCAATCAATAAATCTATCCCTATTAATAAGAAAAATGCCTTAAAGTACTTTGGATTTTAAAGTAACATCTGAAATATTTGATAGTCTAAAACGTACTGAAATGAGATGGCAGCGGTACATTAAACTTGCGATCCCTGTATTTTAATAGGCAGACTCCTATTGAGCGAAACAGTGCGGTAGCATTAAAACTAATAAAGACCATTTATACTTTATTTTATACTATCTATAGTAACATAACTGAGTTTTGTTATTTCGATATATATGGTGGCATACTTCTGTCACCAGATAACCATATAACTAACTTGTTAATTTAGAGGTTAACTAGTTACGTAACTAGTTAACCTCTTAATTAACTAGTTGGTTGCATTGGAATCATAACGGGAAATAAATGCATGTTAGTGCCTACAACTGCCATCCTTTTATCATTTTACCAGCTTAATGTTAAGTGGTAAACTAGTTATGTAACTAGTTAACCTCTTAATTAACTAGTTAGTTATATGGTTATCTGGTGGCAGAAATATGCCACCATATATATCATTATGCCATTATGGCAAGATATGGACCATTATTGCTACTTTTGTGGTTAAATCGCTGCATTTAAATTACTTGTCTTTCACATTTGTGAATTCAAATAGCGACATGGACTTCGGAATGCTTCTGGAGGGTCGGTCATTCTACCAAAGTGCCATATGAGGCTATGACACTAAAGGAAACCTGAAAAATTAAATGAACAAATAAATCATCAATAAGTAGGATAGTAATTTTATCATTCATGGCATATCTTCATGTGAACTATCTAAGCATACAAAAAACACAACAAAACTACAACAACCCCTGTATATTATCATAATTACAAAAAAATGGAGGAAAAATTAATAAAATACCAGATAGATTTAAATTGTTGTTTACAGATTTAAATTGTTGTTTACAAAGTGTTTCTGAACTGCGCAGGGTCATTAGATAATATCTAAGGTACCTAATTGATTAAAATTGGATTAGGAGTCCATAGGACGGCAGCCAAGACAAGCGGAAAATTCCATATGCAGTACTTTCTGCATTAATACGTAAACACTTGATTTATGCTCAACAATATGCGATAAGTTATGGCTGTATCAGCCATAATATCTAGATAATGATAATAATCTTTATTCACAAAAGGTTACAAACCCATGAGTGTCATGGTATACGATCAATCATTTTATGATATATACATTTTCTGGCCATTAACGAGGGCTGAAACTAATATTGACCTGCCATTAAATGTTGACTGATACCCGGTACGCGATAAACTTAATTGGCTGATTTCAGATCGTATCAATAAGGTAATAATAGATGGTCAATAAGACAACGGGTGTTTCTTAACTGAACTATTATTTCAATTACATGTATTTATCTATTAATATTCATTAAGTTGTATTTTTATCTTGATCTTGTTAGGATTGATAAGTGGTTCGCAGATAGATCCTCATTAAGCATAGACTACATGCAAAGTCGATTTTCATTATGTATGTGTACTACAAATTTAAAAATTCAATAGTTTTAAACAAGGGAAGGAAGGCATTGTATAGTATTAATTGTATTTAACACTTTTGAAAGATTATTGTGACGGATTTTACAAGACTGTTTAATATAGTTGTATAGGCAAGTTGTTTAGCTTACGGCCGTTTACTTTTGCCATATAACTAACTACTCTGCATTTTCTCTTCATTTCTCGTATTTAGTAATATTAAGTACCGTAACGTAAAGCTAAATTGTGAACAGGTTGTAAAGACTTTACTACAATGTAATAACCCATTCCCCCACACTAATATTACATATAAATTATCTTTGTACTTTTTAAAGTATTGCTATCATGTATGTTATAAATAGAAGTTATGATACAATGCTATGGATATAAATTATGGGATCAAGGCTTTTACTAGCAATATACTCCATGGAAATATATAAAAATGTACCTTCATATTCTTATGGTCATACATTTAAAGATTCTTAAATAGCTTACACACATTATACCATTAAACTTTTCTCAACAAAATGTTCGAATGTCATTTGTTCATACTTTAGCATTGACGAAATTTAAAATTTACAGTCGTTATTCATTTTATTGTGGTCTTTTGGTAGATTTCTGTTTTCGATAAAAACAAATAATCCGCCGGTATTGACAGCACATAAGGCTTTTTACAATTTACTTTGGTTATTGACAGTTAAAAATGCTACTTATTATACTTGGCAGATTGCACTGATCCAACACCAGCTAGCGGATCCAATATTCTGTCCAATGGCCTCGCACACGGAAGTGTCGCTCACGTCAGTTGCGATACTGGATTCCAGTTAAACGGGGACAGTATAATTATTTGTGACAATGGAACATGGAGTTACAATACATCCTGTGATATTAGAGGTACAAATCTTGTTAAAGTGTACATGTTTATTCTATAAATAAAACATTAAGTTTTAAATACTTATGTTTTCAAAGCCAACATATTCATTATACCTTATATAATTTTACCATGAATTCGAACATATTTAATGTAATAAAAAAGGAAACATAGTCACACATTTTTACGATATCTGACACTATCATATTTAACAGAATCTCTTTGCAAATAGTCGAAATTGCCTGAAAGTTAAATAAATATTTCTACCAAGAAATTGAAACTTTGTTTTTGGTAATAAATTCGATTTATTTTAAACATTTTTCAACTTTAAAATGGCTGACAATTTTTTTACCTAATTCTTCTTTTTCATAAAAAATCAATTTATTTGAGAAAAACAGTCCATTTACAATATTTATATTTAATAAAAATGATTAGAATATCCTATTTTGGTAGCTTCAACATAGATATACGAGTACGTGAATATTTCTTAAAATTAAGCCGCCATTTTTAATTTTGGGAACCATATTTATTTTGAGCTTGGGGTCTCGATGAAATATGATGGGTAAGATATATGACTTTAACATTCAAAGTGGTTTGCTTGTAGCATTATCTGAACGATTCTTGTATTTTACCCTCGGATGGACTCTAACTATAAGGTTGATAGAACGGAATGATTACCTTTGACAAGATATTGTTAACACAGGCGTGAATGTGCGAATTTAACGTTCTATCACCCTTAGTGGGATAGGATATTTATATACTGTCTGGTGAATATTCGCCACACTGTGCTTTCTTAAGAGACTTGTACTTAAATGAGGGTCTTTCAAAAAGAATTTGAAAGAACCAGTTTGCAGAAAGTATTCCAAGTTCTGAAATATAAATAAACCATCAGACATCAATAAAAGTATTTTTGGAATAATTATTATATATCTATTCATAATGCAGATTGTGGGGACCCAACCCCGACGTCTGGGTTTAGTAACCACACCAGTACCACCTATCAGTCAACAGCTGACATTACTTGTGACACCGGCTACGATCTCCAAGGATCTTCTTTTATCACATGCCAGTCAAACGGTGCCTGGAGTGAAACGCCATTTTGTCAAGCACATGGTAAAGCTATAATAATTGTAACAGATCTGGACGTCGTTTTAACTTTTACTGAATTTCATATAACCATTTTATTTAATAAATGATAATAAAGTTGCATGGTTCGAAAATAGTGTATGTAAATGGCCGATTTACCGTACAGGCCAATTTCTCTTTTCCTTTTCAAATTTGCATCTTTTTATTTATTATATACCTATAAACTTTCTCCCTGAAATACACGCAAATCTTGAAGCGCGAATATGCTTCAAAGGATAGAAAATTCCGTATAAGTTTAGTGACAAATACTGTACCATATATGGAAGTGCCGGACTATTATTGACGCTGGTTCCGATCTTAGCTGTGTAATGTTGTGTTTGGAAACGGGAACCAAAATTATTGAAGACGTGGCCGGTTTTGCAAAAATACGTATTTATCCGTCATTTATGAATTAATTTCATGACAGCTATATTTCATTCCTGAAATTACTAATAGAAGTGAAGTATATCGAAACTCCTTTTTACTTAAAACGATAAGGTATATAATAAAAGGAAAATTATGTTGTAGTAGCTTTCTGGGGCCATGTTTTTGCTACTCGGAACGTTGGGAAATTGATATCTCCCTCGACCTCTGGTCTCGCGAGATATCAATTTTCCAACGCTGCTCGTAGCCAAATACAAAGCCTCAGAAAGCTACTACAACATAATATTCCGTATTTGCCTCTTATACTTCTAACATAGTTAAAATGTACGTTACTTTCAGATTGCGGGAGTATAATTCTCACAGATGGATCAGTGTCTACACCAGGTGGAAGAACCTACGGTCAGACAGCGTCACTAACTTGTAACACAGGATATACGTTAAATGGACCATCTGTTGTTGAATGTCTCGCCGACGGATGGAACGATACATCGACTTGCGACAGTGTTGGTGAGTGTATGGCACTATCAGGGTTGATAGTGGTTTGGGTTGTTTCAAATGTTTTTAATTTCTTTTTTCCAAATCTATTTTGACAAACTAATACGTCTTAGACAAGCTTTAAAAATGATAAAAAATACATGAAGTGTATTAAGTTAATTTACGGGTTAACATTACATTACCTTATATAAGAAGAAAGCAGTTCTGGTCCAGGGATTTTAAGGAACTGCACTATCCAATGTATTTTTTGTATATCAACAGTTTGTAGTAACCCTGCCCCACCAAACGGTGTATCAGATGCTCCGTCGGGTTTTATGTACAACGAGCTGGCACTTATTTCATGTGATACAGGATATACCCTGTCTGGTGACACCCTTATCTTGTGCCAAGCCAACGGGACATGGACTGACTCTCCTACTTGTGAAATAAATGGTAAGACGCTTGAAATGGATTAGAAACGAAATAAAATTTGAAACAGTATGTTATGACTGTAGTAATTATTTTCTTCATTTTTTTCTGTAATAAAAAGTTATTCGATATCCTGACTGCTGTAATAATACTGTATGATTTTGCATATCATGAACCCAACACAAAAGCCTTTCTGGAATATACATTAACACATGCCTAAACTGTGTTACCCCCAAACTCATAATAAATAAAAAAATTAATCCTGGACCCAAGCTTGAAACACCATTTATTAAAAACCTTCCATTGAGCAGTATAGAAATCACTGCCAATATGTGTCGAGTAAAATTCGGCTGATTTTTTTTTACTTTTAATTTTAAAGTGAATATTCATATCACATTAAATAATTATGCTTTATGTACAAAAAAGAATATTTCGTAGGAAAATAATGAGTGTTGAAATGGCCAACATTATATATCATTGTTATGTGAATTATAGCGATCACAGTGGTTAAACCGAACAAAATTTGATTTAAAATTACACACTTATACATATGTACATCTAGCCTGGGATTCAGGCGTTGATATTCATAACATACGCGCTATTTCATACACGGTCGTCATAGATAACACAGCATCTCTGGTTTTGATAGTATTGATTTGCCGAACAGAAGCACATAAAAAATCGACAGACTGGAACCCAGGCTAATGTACATCGTCTTTTTAACAAAGTTTGAATAAATATACTCGTAGTCACATGGCAGGTGAAAACACATGTTAAAAACAAGTTTTTCAATAAATAAACAATGATTAAGGAGGACTTTATTTAAATAGATAGTTACAACTTGATTATGTTTAGAGTTCATGATTGTGTATTTCAACGAGTTTCTTGTATATATTTTGGTATCTTAATTAAAACAGTTTTATTTTGCGTTGAAAGTACAATGTAGGTAGCAAAATGTGATTTAATCGATGCAGAAGTAAGCATTTTTAACTGGACATATTACCGATATATCACTCCGTATGCGTTCAAATTGCAAACTCATGAACAAAATAAAGATACTGAAATAAATTAATAAATGAGAAAATAATGTAGTTTTCTGCACTTATGTTGTTTTTGCTACCGATTTTTTCTAAAAATGTATAGGAATAATTCTTAAAGTGAGATCAAAATTGCCTTTTTAAGTTTAGTTCTTTGTAATAATGAAGAAGTTTGTTCCTATGATTTTGGACGTACACAACTGTCCTGTCAATGATTATCCACTGTGTGTATCTGTAAATCAGAAATGTTGAAATAATTCAGGAATATTAAAATAACGCAGGAGTTTTGAAAAAGAGAGCCAAAATCTGTTGAAAATATTCACAATGCCTGCGTTATTTTCACATTCCTGCGTTACGTGATACACTCTGTGTTGTTGTATGAAACAGAAAACTATACACGAACTTATCGGCCTCATTGTTATATGAGAAGAAAAAACATATGTTATAGACCAGCCTCTGTTGTTTATGCTACTCATGTTTTGGTTAACTTGAACCAGAGTGGGCAATGAAAATATATATTCCAAGTGAAACAAAACATCAATGGTCCTCTTTTTCTTTGTCATTGAAACACACTGCGCTAATTTTAAACACACAATCTTTCAGACTGTGGTGATCCGACACCCATAAATGGATCCATAAGCACAGGTTCGACTACCTACTTAACAACACTGAACGTATCATGCGACACAGGTTTCGAGCTTGTTGGATCAGAATCGATAACTTGTCAAGCTGATTCAAGATGGTCTGAATATCCCACTTGCGCGGCAAAAGGTAAGTACATTTGGTTTATCTTTCTCACTTAAAAAGTTCTAGTTTTTTCCAGTGTTTTCCATAAGACAACTAAATAGTACGCAAAATATGTAAAGGTATATGAAAAAATATTTTTCATATCGTTCATTTCAATATGTAAGGCCGTATTATGAGTGGCTCGCATGCAAAACACATAGTGGTCAGGTTTTGTAAGACATAATAAAAAATCTTACAAAACGTAAAAAATAATTTGATTTGAACCTAAAAATTGGAAACGAGCTGAAACAAGGGGCAGGGTGTGAAGTAGTTGCACACTTGGTTCAAGCGAGAAAATTTGCAACCAGAAATGCTTGAAGTACAAGTTTGCCAAAATGCGCTTGAACAAGATATTTTGTGTACTGAAACTTAATTTGGAACATGCAAATAAAAAATATGTTCACAGTAGTGATAGATACATATTTTGTTTGTTTGGTGAACAAAAAAACTTACAGATGTGAATGAATGAGCTTAAAAACCGCCCTGGATTGTCACTTGTCAAATCTCAAAATATGTATATGCCCAGTTTATAACTTTAATAACTTCGTCATATGAAATGATAGGAAGCTGAGACCTTAAAACGAGAGTGGCCTAGTGGTAGGAAATAACATATAAACCCACTTACCTGAAGAAAATACGTGCGAGTGCAGCAGATATTCAAGACTTGGTAACCATTTTGTGAAGTTTGCAACCAATTTTTTAACTTGAACCAAGTGTGCAACCACTTCGCGTCCTGTCAAGTCTTACACTTGTCACCAGGGTAATACGTCATGTGTTATGCTAGTACTTCTAAGTAATAGATGATGAAGAAGAAGAAGAACATTTTATTGGCTTAAACTAGTACATAGTTGCTTGTCATTATACATATACACAAACATATTATACATAAATCACTATATAAAGTATCAAATGTGTTTCCACATTTATACATATGCCGCTGTTCCATCCATTAAAACCAGTATGGTTTACTTCGGAATCCGATAATCACAGACAAAAAAGGTCATTGAACAGGTCGATATTGCCAAACAATATCTATTGTCACTCACATATAAAGCATGGTCGGTCAGGCGTAAAATTGCATATATGACAACAAAAATTATAACAGATTTATTCATATTAAAAGAATCTTAAGGTGTCGCTGTCAACAAAAAGTGGATTGGGTTGGTGAATAACACGAGTGACCTTTTCCTAGTTGTAAACAATACTCAATATACACATTTCATTCATATAAGAGAACACAGTTTTCAAAAAGTATTAAAATTTCACATCACATTTAAAGAAGAAAAGAAGACTTGTCATATCTTCGTCTTGCATGCAACAAGTCAGTAGTGTTTGCTAAAAAAGAACACAGCCCATATCGGAATGTGGGAGAATATTGCTTAAATCCAAATGCCTAAACAATAGGAACAATTGTTTTTTTTAATGTTTTAAAAATCAAACATATGAATGTAGTTCAGTGATAGGTATGGTAGGGGAAAAGATGCCACAATATACGCAAGTGTTAAACAGCAACCTTTACAAACACTTGTATTTAATGTTACAAAATAAAAGTTTGAAAGTATGAAATATTAAATTCAATTCAATATTTCCTTTTGGCAAAAGCATATAGATGTTCCTTGCTAATATAAAATATATACAATGGCGGTACAAGTACAATCACAAATAAAATAGAAAAGCATATCGTATTTAACAATAAGTGGCTATACCTGTATATTATAAGTATGAATTAAGCTTATTAAGTAGATATACCTATTCAAAATACATTTTGTATTTAACACCTATCATTTTATTATCTCCCTGAAGTGTTAACTTCATTAATGATGTTATCTTACAGTAACACGTATCAAAGTTGGCATCAGAGTACTATTACAAACGCGATTCTTCATACTATGAATTACCATTTGCAAGAAGTATTCCACATTTTAAAACAAAATCTCCAAAGTGCGAAATATTCCACATGCATACATGATATTACTTATAAATGAGGATAACGTCATTGGTGCCAAAGACCAATCATATAGTTGTTGAATTCACACACATCATAATTATTGAAAAACAAGATTGCATATGTGACAAAATGCAATGCAATCGCATCATACAACACTAAAAAGCAAGTGAATTTTGGGGTCATTCTCTTATTATTCTCTCATTTCTATAATAATTTACATGCGCACTTGTATCTTTATCTGATCCCACGAATTGGAAAATACAACTGTATGAAATTAATTATCTAATTATCTCCCTTATATACATAAGGACAAGAGAGCCGCGATGGCCCTACATCGCTCAACCGAGTATGAAAACTCAAAATAGCACAATACTGATGATGTTGATAACTAAGTATGAAGGAAGGCATTATGTCGAAATATGGGTAAACTGATATCAAAGTTTAAATCTGCACCTGAGTTTGTGACAGTAGTCCAAATTTCAATGATATCGCTTTCAAAAGAAACAAAATAGGACATTGGGTAAAATTTAGGCCAAAGTTTATTTCTGCATCTGAATTTATGCAAGAAGTCCAAACCTTACACCTTAAATTCTGCTCAGTAAAAATCAGTCGCCGGGTCGAAATATAAATCTAGATCAAAGTTCAATTCTGCAAAACTGAGCTATAGCCTAAATCTCATAACTTCAGTTCTATTTGTAAAAATAGGTCACTGGGTAAAAAATTCTAAATCAACACTTGTCAGATGTCTAGGGTGCATTTAATAAAGAATCGTAAGTATAAAACATAAGACTAAAGTTAAGACTAGAATAAGATTGCACTTAGAAGCATTTCAAGAAACGCTCCTAACATTTGTACTTAGGATTAGTCCTAACTTTTTACTTAAGGCAAAATCTTCCTAATGGAGATAAAAAAATCATCACTTGTGCCTTATCCTCGTCATACGAAATAATGTAAAATGACAGATGATAAAGCAGGCACTGGTTAAAAATAAAATAATGATGTATAATTGACATTTATACATTAATATTACTTATGAATTAACTTACTTCATGTCATTAATGTTATCATTGGAAGGGCACTAGATATAATAATGTTTTGACTTTTTTTTTAAATTATTCTTTAATTGCATAAGGCGGACATGTTTCTTGAACAAACATTCCATTTTTTAGTCAAAGGAAAAAATATCCTCTTAATATTTAGAAAAAAAATTTTAATTCTGAGTGAAGTATTGTAGTAGATCTGTAATGTACCTTGCATAAATATAATAACAAAGACCGATATGCCTGAGTGATTTATTACCAAGCATTTAACGATTAACCAGACATTATTTTAATGTAACGTAAGAAAAGATAATATCTATTTCCATTCTAACATGGTAATAAAAAAGATTATCAAAAATATGTGGAACATTATAAAGCATCGGTGTAATTTATCTTACGTCATTTGGTTTATATGACGTCATATCTGACTTTATATTAGGTGGTATTTTATGCCATGTATAATTATTTTATGTCTAATGCACTTAACTGTCTTATCTATTTATAGAGGGGAATACTGTGAAGCGTGTGAATTTTATGTAAATTTACAAATTTAATGAATCTTGAATATTGAAATATACACAAAAATAAGCCATATCAATCACAGTGTCAGTCATATATTATGAATAATGGTACAGTATAAATTATCTTTTATGAATAAAACCTATCATTTAACTGGTATGCAAAAATACACATGTTCATTTTCAGAAAAGTTTGATTAATCTTAAAAACTCGACTAGACAATCTTTCATAAGTTAACATACATCTAAACTCTAGCTCTTGAAGATTTGCAAGAAAATATATTCATGTATGAATGAAATAAACACTTTGCCCCCTAGTCGTGGCCGATTTTGACACCAGGGCTATAATTTTAACAATCTTTGGAGAGGCCACTTTCTATACATGTTAGCGGATAAACCTTTTCGAGAAATTTGCCATCAATAAAAATCCATGATTTGGTAATGTTCATGAAACGCTTATTTTTCTAAATAACATTTATAGTATTCTCATTCAAAAGCCGTATACGTTTTGTTTTTACATGGAGAGAATAGTTTAGTTCAAACATGGCTTGACTTGGAAATTCATCATACAAAGAAATGACATGTTCACATAAAGAAATAAATCGTATTCGTGTATAATTTCATATTATCAACATATTATTTCAGACTGTGGAACGAGAACGATCTCTAACGGAAAGTTTAATGCTTCATCTGGGACAACACTTGGAGAAACTGCAACACAATCTTGCAATGATGGTTATATACTCGCAGGAGACGAGATTGTTACATGCACCGCTTCAGGCTGGAATGGTTCAATTGCAGCTTGCACAATCAAAAGTAAGTTAAAAATAAAGGAATTGTTTATCTTAGCACAAAAGTGACACATTGCTTTATGCTTATTGATGAAATACTGACTCATAAAGTAAAAGATGAAAAAGGTCTTGATTGTTTTAACGTAAGAAACATTTTCTTATTTACATTGCTTTTCTTTCTTCAGATTGCTCAGTTCCTGAAATAACAAATGGAGAAACCGCAGAAACCCCAAAAGGCACAACATACAACGAGATAGCAATAATGTCATGTGTAGACGGATATACGTTAAATGGAAATACCTTTGTTACATGTCAGGCCGACGGTAACTGGAGCACACTTCCTACATGTGTCATTAAAAGTAAGTATATGCTTCTGTTTTGCTATCTTTGGGGGAGATATCTCATTCCATTTACTGCAAAACTATAGTGATGTCATGCGTGTAACTTGCCATGAAAAACTTTGATGAACACTTTTATATTCCTTTCTCTTCCTATCAAACCATTACGACAGATCTCTGTGAATGGCCCTTAATCCGCCCTCACCCTAACAAAATAACATGTTTGTTCCTTTGACATATGAAACCGAGTTTCCTTATTATATGTTGAATCTCACCTTTATATTTAAGATTGTGGTGATCCTATTCCATCGTTTGGCTCTTCAAATGGCTCGACATATGATTACGGTGAAACGATAGAAATAACATGTCAAAGTGGCTATAACATTCGAGGAAGTGCACTGATATCTTGTCAAGCTGATGGTACTTGGAGCGGAACACCAACATGCAATCCAGAGGGTAACCTTTATTTTGTTATAGAGACAAATAATTTTTTTTATCTTAATCAAGAAATACCCCGTCAATAAAAATCCATTATAATGAATGATTTGGTTATGTTCATGAAAAACTTCTTTTTCTAAATATCATTTTTATAGTATTCTCAGTCATGTGCCAATATATCGGGAACACATTAACTATACGTCGATTTCAAATGCCCCTCATAAGTTTTTCTTTTTATATGGCAAGAACCGCCTCCGTGGTCGAGGGGTTAGAGTCGATGACTTCTAATCCAATTACCTCTCTGGCGTGGGTTCGATCCCCGGGAGATGCTTTGGTAGTTTTGCATGGAGGAAGGTAGTCTAGTACTGGTGTCACTCCAGGAACGATGGGTAAGAAACTACCCGCCTATATGACTGAAATACTGTTGGGAAAAGGCGTAAAATGAAACAAAGAAACTAAACAAACAAACAAACACACTTTATATGGCAATAAATATGAACGAAAATAGCTTAGTTCAAACATGGCTTCACTTGGAAATTCATCATACAAAGAAATGACATGTTAACACAAAGAGATAAATCGTATTTGTGCATAATTTCATATTATCAACATATTATTTCAGACTGTGGAACGAGAACGATCTCTAACGGACAGTTTAATGCTTCATCTGGGACAACACTTGGAGAAACTGCAACACAATCTTGCAATGATGGTTATACACTCGCAGGAGACGAGATTGTTACATGCACCGCTTCAGGCTGGAATGGTTCAGTCGCAGCTTGCACAATCAAAAGTAAGTTAAAAATAAAGGAATTGTTTATCTTAGCACAAAAGTGACACATTGCTTCATGCTTATTGATGAAATACTGACTCATAAAGTAAAAGATGAAAAAGGTCTTGATTGTTTTAACGTAAGAAACATTTTCTTATTTACATTGCTTTTCTCTGTACAGATTGCTCGGTTCCTACAATAACAGATGGAGAAACAGCAGAAACCCCAAAAGGCACAACTTACAACGAAATAGCAATACTATCATGTAAAGATGGATATACATTAAATGGAACTGCATTTGTTACATGTCAGGCCGACGGTAACTGGAACGCACTTCCTTCATGCGACATTAAAAGTAAGTACATGATTCTGTATTGATATCTTTGGGGGAGATATGTCATTCCATTTACTGCAAAACTACAGAGATGTCATGCGTGTAACTTGCCATGAAAAACTTTGATGAACACCTTTATATTCCTTTCTCTCCCTTTCAAAACATTACGACAGATCTCTGTGAATGGCTCTTTATTCGCCCTCGTCCTAACAAAATAACATGTTCGTTCCTTTGACATATGAAACCGAGTTTCCTTATTATATGTTGAATCTCACCTTCATATTTAAGATTGTGGTGATCCTACTCCATCGTTTGGCTCTCCAAATAGCTCGACATATGATTACGGTGAAACGATAGAAATAACATGTCAAAGTGGCTATAACATTCAAGGAAGTGCAGTGATATCTTGTCAAGCTGATGGTACTTGGAGCGGAACAGCAACATGCGATCCAGAGGGTAACCTTTATTTTGTTATAGAATCAGAAAAAAAGAATAATTATCTTAATCAACAAATATCCCATCAATAAAAATCCATTATAATTAATAATTTGGTAATGTTCACGAAAACCTTCATTTTCTAAATATCAGTTATTATAGTATTCTCATTCATGTGCCAATATATCGGGAGAACATTAACTATACGTTCATTTCAAATGACCCTTATAAGTTTTCTTTTTATATGGCAAAAAATATGAAAGAAAATAGCTTAGTTCCAGCATGGCTTGACTTGGAAATTCATCATACAAACCATGACATGTTAACACAAAGAAATAAATCGTATTCGTGTATAATTTCATGTTATCAACATATTATTTCAGACTGTGGAACGAGAACGATCTCTAACGGACAGTTTAATGCTTCATCCGGGACAACACTTGGAGAAACTGCAACACAATCTTGCAATGATGGTTATACACTCGCAGGAGACGAGACTGTTACATGTACCGCTTCAGGCTGGAATGGTTCAGTCGCAGCTTGCACAATCAAAAGTAAGTTAAAAATAAAGGAATTGTTTATCTTAGCACAAAAGTGACACATTGCTTCATGCTTATTGATGAAATACTGACTCATAAAGTAAAAGATGAAAAGGGTTTTGATTGTTTTAACGTAAGAAACATTTTCTTATTTACGTTGCTTTTCTCTCATCAGATTGCTCGGTTCCTGAAATAGGAAATGGAGAAACCGCAGAAACGCCAAAAGGCACAACATACAACGAGATAGCAATAATGTCATGTGCAGACGGATATACGTTAAATGGAAATGCCTTTGTTACATGTCAGGCCGACGGTACCTGGAGCACACTTCCTACATGTGTCATTAAAAGTAAGTATATGCTTCTGTTTTGATATCTTTGGGGGAGATATGTCATTCCATTTACTGCAAAACTACAGAGATGTCATGCGTGTAACTTGCCATGAAAATCTTTGATGAACACCTTTATATTCCTTTCTCTCTCTTTCAAAACATTACGACATATCTCTGTGAATGGCTCTTTATTCGCCCTCGTCCTAACAAAATAACATGTTCGTTCCTTTGACATATGAAACCGAGTTTCCTTATTATATGTTGAATCTCACCTTCATATTTAAGATTGTGGTGATCCTACTCCATCGTTTGGCTCTCCAAATAGCTCGACATATGATTACGGTGAAACGATAGAAATAACATGTCAAAGTGGTTATAACATTCGAGGAAGTGCAGTGATATCTTGTCAAGCTGATGGTACTTGGAGCGGAACACCAACATGCGATCCAGAGGGTAACCTTTATTTTGTTATAGAGCCAGATAAATTTTTTTATCTTAATCAAGAAATACCCCGTCAATAAAAATCCATTATAATGAATGATTTGGTTATGTTCATGAAAAACTTCTTTTCCTAAATATCATTTTTATAGTATTCTCAGTCATGTGCCAATTTATCAGGAACACATTAACTATACGTCGATTTCAAATGCCCCTCATAAGTTTTTCTTTTTATATGGCAAGAACCGCCTCCGTGGTCGAGGGGTTAGAGTCGATGACTTCTAATCCAATTACCTCTCTGGCGTGGGTTCGATCCCCGGGAGATGCTTTGGTAGTTTTGCATGGAGGAAGGTAGTCTAGTACTGGTGTCACTCCAGGAACGATGGTTAGGAAACTACTCGCCTATATGACTGAAATACTGTTGGGAAAAGGCGTAAAATGAAACAAAGAAAGAAAACAAACAAACAAACACATTTTATATGGCAATAAATATGAACGAAAATAGCTTAGTTCAAACATGGCTTCACTTGGAAATTCATCATACAAAGAAATGACATGTTAACACAAAGAAATAAATCGTATTTGTGTATAATTTCATATCATCAACATATTATTTCAGACTGTGGAACGAGAACGATCTCTAACGGACAGTTTAATGCTTCATCTGGGACAACACTTGGAGAAACTGCAACACAATCTTGCAATGATGGTTATACACTCGCAGGAGACGAGATTGTTACATGCACCGCTTCAGGCTGGAATGGTTCAGTCGCAGCTTGCACAATCAAAAGTAAGTTAAAAATAAAGGAATTGTTTATCTTAGCACAAAAGTGACACATTGCTTTATGCTTATTGATGAAATACTGACTCATAAAGTAAAAGATGAAAAAGGTCTTGATTGTTTTAACGTAAGAAACATTTTCTTATTTACATTGCTTTTCTCTCTTCAGATTGCTCAGTTCCTGAAATAACAAATGGAGAAACCGCAGAAACCCCAAAAGGCACAACATACAACGAGATAGCAATAATGTCATGTGCAGACGGATATACGTTAAATGGAAATACCTTTGTTACATGTCAGGCCGACGGTAACTGGAGCACACTTCCTACATGTGTCATTAAAAGTAAGTATATGCTTCTGTTTTGACATCTTTGGGGGAGATATCTCATTCCATTTACTGCAAAACTATAGTGATGTCATGCGTGTAACTTGCCATGAAAAACTTTGATGAACACTTTTATATTCCTTTCTCTTCCTATCAAACCATTACGACAGATCTCTGTGAATGGCCCTTAATTCGCCCTCACCCTAACAAAATAACATGTTTGTTCCTTTGACATATGAAACCGAGTTTCCTTATTATATGTTGAATCTCACCTTTATATTTAAGATTGTGGTGATCCTATTCCATCGTTTGGCTCTTCAAATGGCTCGACATATGATTACGGTGAAACGATAGAAATAACATGTCAAAGTGGCTATAACATTCGAGGAAGTGCACTGATATCTTGTCAAGCTGATGGTACTTGGAGCGGAACACCAACATGCGATCCAGAGGGTAACCTTTATTTTGTTATAGAGCGAGATAATTTTTTTATCTTAATCAAGAAATACCCCGTCAATAAAAATCCATTATAATGAATGATTTGGTTATGTTCATGAAAAACTTCTTTTTCTAAATATCATTTTTATAGTATTCTCAGTCATGTGCCAATATATCGGGAACACATTAACTATACGTCGATTTCAAATGCCCCTCATAAGTTTTTCTTTTTATATGGCAAGAACCGCCTCCGTGGTCGAGGGGTTAGAGTCGATGACTTCTAATCCAATTACCTCTCTGGCGTGGGTTCGATCCCCGGGAGATGCTTTGGTAGTTTTGCATGGAGGAAGGTAGTCTAGTACTGGTGTCACTCCAGGAACGATGGTTAGGAAACTACCGCCTATATGACTGAAATACTGTTGGGAAAAGGCGTAAAAATGAAACAAAGAAAGAAAACAAACAAACAAACACACTTTATATGGCAATAAATATGAACGAAAATAGCTTAGTTCAAACATGGCTTCACTTGGAAATTCATCATACAAAGAAATGACATGTTAACACAAAGAAATAAATCGTATTTGTGTATAATTTCATATTATCAACATATTATTTCAGACTGTGGAACGAGAACGATCTCTAACGGACAGTTTAATGCTTCATCTGGGACAACACTTGGAGAAACTGCAACACAATCTTGCAATGATGGTTATACACTCGCAGGAGACGAGATTGTTACATGCACCGCTTCAGGCTGGAATGGTTCAGTCGCAGCTTGCACAATCAAAAGTAAGTTAAAAATAAAGGAATTGTTTATCTTAGCACAAAAGTGACACATTGCTTTATGCTTATTGATGAAATACTGACTCATAAAGTAAAAGATGAAAAAGGTCTTGATTGTTTTAACGTAAGAAACATTTTCTTATTTACATTGCTTTTCTCTCTTCAGATTGCTCAGTTCCTGAAATAACAAATGGAGAAACCGCAGAAACCCCAAAAGGCACAACATACAACGAGATAGCAATAATGTCATGTGTAGACGGATATACGTTAAATGGAAATACCTTTGTTACATGTCAGGCCGACGGTAACTGGAGCACACTTCCTACATGTGTCATTAAAAGTAAGTATATGCTTCTGTTTTGCTATCTTTGGGGGAGATATCTCATTCCATTTACTGCAAAACTATAGTGATGTCATGCGTGTAACTTGCCATGAAAAACTTTGATGAACACTTTTATATTCCTTTCTCTTCCTATCAAACCATTACGACAGATCTCTGTGAATGGCCCTTAATTCGCCCTCACCCTAACAAAATAACATGTTTGTTCCTTTGACATATGAAACCGAGTTTCCTTATTATATGTTGAATCTCACCTTTATATTTAAGATTGTGGTGATCCTATTCCATCGTTTGGCTCTTCAAATGGCTCGACATATGATTACGGTGAAACGATAGAAATAACATGTCAAAGTGGCTATAACATTCGAGGAAGTGCACTGATATCTTGTCAAGCTGATGGTACTTGGAGCGGAACACCAACATGCGATCCAGAGGGTAACCTTTATTTTGTTATAGAGCGAGATAATTTTTTTATCTTAATCAAGAAATACCCCGTCAATAAAAATCCATTATAATGAATGATTTGGTTATGTTCATGAAAAACCTCTTTTTCTAAATATCATTTTTATAGTATTCTCAGTCATGTGCCAATATATCGGGAACACATTAACTATACGTCGATTTCAAATGCCCCTCATAAGTTTTTCTTTTTATATGGCAAGAACCGCCTCCGTGGTCGAGGGGTTAGAGTCGATGACTTCTAATCCAATTACCTCTCTGGCGTGGGTTCGATCCCCGGGAGATGCTTTGGTAGTTTTGCATGGAGGAAGGTAGTCTAGTACTGGTGTCACTCCAGGAACGATGGTTAGGAAACTACCCGCCTATATGACTGAAATACTGTTGGGAAAAGGCGTACAATGAAACAAAGAAAGAAAACAAACAAACAAACAAACACACTTTATATGGCAATAAATATGAACGAAAATAGCTTAGTTCAAACATGGCTTCACTTGGAAATTCATCATACAAAGAAATGACATGTTAACACAAAGAAATAAATCGTATTTGTGTATAATTTCATATCATCAACATATTATTTCAGACTGTGGAACGAGAACGATCTCTAACGGACAGTTTAATGCTTCATCTGGGACAACACTTGGAGAAACTGCAACACAATCTTGCAATGATGGTTATACACTCGCAGGAGACGAGATTGTTACATGCACCGCTTCAGGCTGGAATGGTTCAATCGCAGCTTGCACAATCAAAAGTAAGTTAAAAATAAAGGAATTGTTTATCTTAGCACAAAAGTGACACATTGCTTTATGCCTTATTGATGAAATACTGACTCATAAAGTAAAAGATGAAAAAGGTCTTGATTGTTTTAACGTAAGAAACATTTTCTTATTTACATTGCTTTTCTCTCTTCAGATTGCTCAGTTCCTGAAATAACAAATGGAGAAACCGCAGAAACCCCAAAAGGCACAACATACAACGAGATAGCAATAATGTCATGTGCAGACGGATATACGTTAAATGGAAATACCTTTGTTACATGTCAGGCCGACGGTAACTGGAGCACACTTCCTACATGTGTCATTAAAAGTAAGTATATGCTTCTGTTTTGATATCTTTGGGGGAGATATCTCATTCCATTTACTGCAAAACTATAGTGATGTCATGCGTGTAACTTGCCATGAAAAACTTTGATGGACACTTTTATATTCCTTTCTCTTCCTATCAAACCATTACGACAGATCTCTGTGAATGGCCCTTTATTCGCCCTCACACTAACAAAATAACATGTTTGTTCCTTTGACATATGAAACCGAGTTTCCTTATTATATGTTGAATCTCACCTTTATATTTAAGATTGTGGTGATCCTATTCCATCGTTTGGCTCTTCAAATGGCTCGACATATGATTACGGTGAAACGATAGAAATAACATGTCAAAGTGGCTATAACATTCGAGGAAGTGCACTGATATCTTGTCAAGCTGATGGTACTTGGAGCGGAACACCAACATGCGATCCAGAGGGTAACCTTTATTTTGTTATAGAGCCAGATAATTTTTTTTATCTTAATCAAGAAATACCCCGTCAATAAAAATCCATTATAATGAATGATTTGGTTATGTTCATGAAAAACTTCTTTTTCTAAATATCATTTTTATAGTATTCTCAGTCATGTGCCAATATATCGGGAACACATTAACTATACGTCGATTTCAAATGCCCCTCATAAGTTTTTCTTTTTATATGGCAAGAACCGCCTCCGTGGTCGAGGGGTTAGAGTCGATGACTTCTAATCCAATTACCTCTCTGGCGTGGGTTCGATCCCCGGGAGATGCTTTGGTAGTTTTGCATGGAGGAAGGTAGTCTAGTACTGGTGTCACTCCAGGAACGATGGTTAGGAAACTACTCGCCTATATGACTGAAATACTGTTGGGAAAAGGCGTAAAATGAAACAAAGAAAGAAAACAAACAAACAAACACACTTTATATGGCAATAAATATGAACGAAAATAGCTTAGTTCAAACATGGCTTCACTTGGAAATTCATCATACAAAGAAATGACATGTTAACACAAAGAAATAAATCGTATTTGTGTATAATTTCATATTATCAACATATTATTTCAGACTGTGGAACGAGAACGATCTCTAACGGACAGTTTAATGCTTCATCTGGGACAACACTTGGAGAAACTGCAACACAATCTTGCAATGATGGTTATACACTCGCAGGAGACGAGATTGTTACATGCACCGCTTCAGGCTGGAATGGTTCAGTCGCAGCTTGCACAATCAAAAGTAAGTTAAAAATAAAGGAATTGTTTATCTTAGCACAAAAGTGACACATTGCTTTATGCTTATTGATGAAATACTGACTCATAAAGTAAAAGATGAAAAAGGTCTTGATTGTTTTAACGTAAGAAACATTTTCTTATTTACATTGCTTTTCTCTCTTCAGATTGCTCGGTTCCTGAAATAACAAATGGAGAAACCGCAGAAACCCCAAAAGGCACAACATACAACGAGATAGCAATAATGTCATGTGCAGACGGATATACGTTAAATGGAAATACCTTTGTTACATGTCAGGACGACGGTAACTGGAGCACACTTCCTACATGTGTCATTAAAAGTAAATATATGCTTCTGTTTTGATATCTTTTGGGGAGATATCTCATTTCATTTACTGCAAAACTATAGTGATGTCATGCGTGTAACTTGCCATGAAAAACTTTGATGGACACTTTTATATTCCTTTCTATCCTTTTCAAAACATTACGACAGATCTCGTGAATGGCCCTTAATTCGCCCTCACTCTAACAAAATAACATGTTTGTTCCTTTGACATATGAAACCGAGTTTCCTTATTATATGTTGAATTTCACCTTTATATTTAAGATTGTGGTGATCCTACTCCATCGTTTGGCTCTTCAAATGGTTCGACATATGATTACGGTGAAACGATAGAAATAACATGTCAAAGTGGCTATAACATTCGAGGAAGTGCAGTGATATCTTGTCAAGCTGATGGTACTTGGAGCGGAACACCAACATGCGATCCTGAGGGTAATCTTTATTTTGTTATAGAGCGAGATAATTTTTTTATCTTAATCAAGAAATAACCCGTCAATAAAAATCCATATTAATGAATGATTTGGTTATGTTCATGAAAAACTTCTTTTTCTAAATATCATTTTTATAGTATTCTCAGTCATGTGCCAATATATCGGGAACACATTAACTATACGTCGATTTCAAATGCCCCTCATAAGTTTTTCTTTTTATATGGCAAGAACCGCCTCCGTGGTCGAGGGGTTAGAGTCGATGACTTCTAATCCAATTACCTCTCTGGCGTGGGTTCGATCCCCGGGAGATGCTTTGGTAGTTTTGCATGGAGGAAGGTAGTCTAGTACTGGTGTCACTCCAGGAACGATGGTTAGGAAACTACTCGCCTATATGACTGAAATACTGTTGGGAAAAGGCGTAAAATGAAACAAAGAAAGAAAACAAACAAACAAACACATTTTATATGGCAATAAATATGAACGAAAATAGCTTAGTTCAAACATGGCTTCACTTGGAAATTCATCATACAAAGAAATGACATGTTAACACAAAGAAATAAATCGTATTTGTGTATAATTTCATATTATCAACATATTATTTCAGACTGTGGAACGAGAACGATCTCTAACGGACAGTTTAATGCTCCATCTGGGACAGCACTTGGAGAAACTGCAACACAATCTTGCAATGATGGTTATACACTCGCAGGAGACGAGATTGTTACATGCACCGCTTCAGGCTGGAATGGTTCAGTCGCAGCTTGCACAATCAAAAGTAAGTTAAAAATAAAGGAATTGTTTATCTTAGCACAAAAGTGACACATTGCTTTATGCTTATTGATGAAATACTGACTCATAAAGTAAAAGATGAAAAAGGTCTTGATTGTTTTAACGTAAGAAACATTTTCTTATTTACATTGCTTTTCTCTCTTCAGATTGCTCAGTTCCTGAAATAACAGATGGAGAAAACCGCAGAAACCCCAAAAGGCACAACATACAACGAGATAGCAATAATGTCATGTGCAGACGGATATACGTTAAATGGAAATACCTTTGTTACATGTCAGGCCGACGGTAACTGGAGCACACTTCCTACATGTGTCATTAAAAGTAAGTATATGCTTCTGTTTTGATATCTTTGGGGGAGATATCTCATTCCATTTACTGCAAAACTATAGTGATGTCATGCGTGTAACTTGCCATGAAAAACTTTGATGAACACTTTTATATTCCTTTCTCTTCCTATCAAACCATTACGACAGATCTCTGTGAATGGCCCTTAATTCGCCCTCACCCTAACAAAATAACATGTTTGTTCCTTTGACATATGAAACCGAGTTTCCTTGTTATATGTTGAATCTCACCTTTATATTTAAGATTGTGGTGATCCTATTCCATCGTTTGGCTCTTCAAATGGCTCGACATATGATTACGGTGAAACGATAGAAATAACATGTCAAAGTGGTTATAACATTCGAGGAAGTGCAGTGATATCTTGTCAAGCTGATGGTACTTGGAGCGGAACACCAACATGCGATCCAGAGGGTAACCTTTATTTTGTTATAGAGCGAGATAATTTTTTTTTATCTTAATCAAGAAATACCCCGTCAATAAAAATCCATTATAATGAATGATTTGGTTATGTTCATGAAAAACTTCTTTTTCTAAATATCATTTTTATAGTATTCTCAGTCATGTGCCAATATATCGGGAACACATTAACTATACGTCGATTTCAAATGCCCCTCATAAGTTTTTCTTTTTATATGGCAAGAACCGCCTCCGTGGTCGAGGGGTTAGAGTCGATGACTTCTAATCCAATTACCTCTCTGGCGTGGGTTCGATCCCCGGGAGATGCTTTGGTAGTTTTGCATGGAGGAAGGTAGTCTAGTACTGGTGTCACTCCAGGAACGATGGTTAGGAAACTACTCGCCTATATGACTGAAATACTGTTGGGAAAAGGCGTAAAATGAAACAAAGAAAGAAAACAAACAAACAAACACATTTTATATGGCAATAAATATGAACGAAAATAGCTTAGTTCAAACATGGCTTCACTTGGAAATTCATCATACAAAGAAATGACATGTTAACACAAAGAAATAAATCGTATTTGTGTATAATTTCATATCATCAACATATTATTTCAGACTGTGGAACGAGAACGATCTCTAACGGACAGTTTAATGCTCCATCTGGGACAACACTTGGAGAAACTGCAACACAATCTTGCAATGATGGTTATACACTCGCAGGAGACGAGATTGTTACATGCACCGCTTCAGGCTGGAATGGTTCAATCGCAGCTTGCACAATCAAAAGTAAGTTAAAAATAAAGGAATTGTTTATCTTAGCACAAAAGTGACACATTGCTTTATGCTTATTGATGAAATACTGACTCATAAAGTAAAAGATGAAAAAGGTCTTGATTGTTTTAACGTAAGAAACATTTTCTTATTTACATTGCTTTTCTCTCTTCAGATTGCTCAGTTCCTGAAATAAAAAATGGAGAAACCGCAGAAACCCCAAAAGGCACAACATACAACGAGATAGCAATAATGTCATGTGCAGACGGATATACGTTAAATGGAAATACCTTTGTTACATGTCAGGCCGACGGTAACTGGAGCACACTTCCTACATGTGTCATTAAAAGTAAGTATATGCTTCTGTTTTGATATCTTTGGGGGAGATATCTCATTCCATTTACTGCAAAACTATAGTGATGTCATGCGTGTAACTTGCCATGAAAAACTTTGATGAACACTTTTATATTCCTTTCTCTTCCTATCAAACCATTACGACAGATCTCTGTGAATGGCCCTTAATTCGCCCTCACCCTAACAAAATAACATGTTTGTTCCTTTGACATATGAAACCGAGTTTCCTTATTATATGTTGAATCTCACCTTTATATTTAAGATTGTGGTGATCCTATTCCATCGTTTGGCTCTTCAAATGGCTCGACATATGATTACGGTGAAACGATAGAAATAACATGTCAAAGTGGCTATAACATTCGAGGAAGTGCACTGATATCTTGTCAAGCTGATGGTACTTGGAGCGGAACACCAACATGCGATCCAGAGGGTAACCTTTATTTTGTTATAGAGCGAGATAATTTTTTTTATCTTAATCAAGAAATACCCCGTCAATAAAAATCCATTATAATGAATGATTTGGTTATGTTCATGAAAAACTTCTTTTTCTAAATATCATTTTTATAGTATTCTCAGTCATGTGCCAATATATCGGGAACACATTAACTATACGTCGATTTCAAATGCCCCTCATAAGTTTTTCTTTTTATATGGCAAGAACCGCCTCCGTGGTCGAGGGGTTAGAGTCGATGACTTCTAATCCAATTACCTCTCTGGCGTGGGTTCGATCCCCGGGAGATGCTTTGGTAGTTTTGCATGGAGGAAGGTAGTCTAGTACTGGTGTCACTCCAGGAACGATGGTTAGGAAACTACTCGCCTATATGACTGAAATACTGTTGGGAAAAGGCGTAAAATGAAACAAAGAAAGAAAACAAACAAACAAACACACTTTATATGGCAATAAATATGAACGAAAATAGCTTAGTTCAAACATGGCTTCACTTGGAAATTCATCATACAAAGAAATGACATGTTAACACAAAGAAATAAATCGTATTTGTGCATAATTTCATATTATCAACATATTATTTCAGACTGTGGAACGAGAACGATCTCTAACGGACAGTTTAATGCTTCATCTGGGACAACACTTGGAGAAACTGCAACACAATCTTGCAATGATGGTTATACACTCGCAGGAGACGAGATTGTTACATGCACCGCTTCAGGCTGGAATGGTTCAGTCGCAGCTTGCACAATCAAAAGTAAGTTAAAAATAAAGGAATTGTTTATCTTAGCACAAAAGTGACACATTGCTTTATGCTTATTGATGAAATACTGACTCATAAAGTAAAAGATGAAAAAGGTCTTGATTGTTTTAACGTAAGAAACATTTTCTTATTTACATTGCTTTTCTTCTCTTCAGATTGCTCAGTTCCTGAAATAACAAATGGAGAAACCGCAGAAACCCCAAAAGGCACAACATACAACGAGATAGCAATAATGTCATGTGCAGACGGATATACGTTAAATGGAAATACCTTTGTTACATGTCAGGCCGACGGTAACTGGAGCACACTTCCTACATGTGTCATTAAAAGTAAGTATATGCTTCTGTTTTGATATCTTTGGGGAGATATCTCATTCCATTTACTGCAAAACTATAGTGATGTCATGCGTGTAACTTGCCATGAAAAACTTTGATGAACACTTTTATATTCCTTTCTCTTCCTATCAAACCATTACGACAGATCTCTGTGAATGGCCCTTAATTCGCCCTCACCCTAACAAAATAACATGTTTGTTCCTTTGACATATGAAACCGAGTTTCCTTATTATATGTTGAATCTCACCTTTATATTTAAGATTGTGGTGATCCTATTCCATCGTTTGGCTCTTCAAATGGCTCGACATATGATTACGGTGAAACGATAGAAATAACATGTCAAAGTGGCTATAACATTCGAGGAAGTGCACTGATATCTTGTCAAGCTGATGGTACTTGGAGCGGAACACCAACATGCGATCCAGAGGGTAACCTTTATTTTGTTATAGAGCCAGATAATTTTTTTTATCTTAATCAAGAAATACCCCGTCAATAAAAATCCATTATAATGAATGATTTGGTTATGTTCATGAAAAACTTTTTTTCTAAATATCATTTTTATAGTATTCTCAGTCATGTGCCAATATATCGGGAACACATTAACTATACGTCGATTTCAAATGTCCCTCATAAGTTTTTCTTTTTATATGGCAAATACCGCCTCCGTGGTCGAGGGGTTAGAGTCGATGACTTCTAATCCAATTACCTCTCTGGCGTGGGTTCGATACCCGGGAGATGCTTTGGTAGTTTTGCATGGAGGAAGGTAGTCTAGTACTGGTGTCACTCCAGGAACGATGGTTAGGAAACTACCCGCCTATATGACTGAAACACTGTGAAATACTGTTGGGAAAAGGCGTACAATGAAACAAAGAAAGAAAACAAACAAACAAACAAACTTTATATGGCAATAAATATGAACGAAAATAGCTTAGTTCAAACATGGCTTCACTTGGAAATTCATCATACAAAGAAATGACATGTTAACACAAAGAAATAAATCGTATTTGTGTATAATTTCATATTATCAACATATTATTTCAGACTGTGGAACGAGAACGATCTCTAACGGACAGTTTAATGCTTCATCTGGGACAACACTTGGAGAAACTGCAACACAATCTTGCAATGATGGTTATATACTCGCAGGAGACGAGACTGTTACATGCACCGCTTCAGGCTGGAATGGATCAGTCGCAGCTTGCACAATCAAAAGTAAGTTAAAAATAAAGGAATTGTTTATCTTAGCACAAAAGTGACACATTGCTTTATGCTTATTGGTGAAATACTGACTCATAAAGTAAAAGATGAAAAAGGTCTTGATTGTTTTAACGTAAGAAACATTTTCTTATTTACATTGCTTTTCTCTCTTCAGATTGCTCGGTTCCTGAAATAACAAATGGAGAAACCGCAGAAACCCCAAAAGGCACAACATACAACGAGATAGCAATAATGTCATGTGCAGACGGATATACGTTAAATGGAAATACCTTTGTTACATGTCAGGCCGACGGTAACTGGAGCACACTTCCTACATGTGTCATTAAAAGTAAGTACAGTTTGTATATGCTTCTGGTTTGATATTTTTGGGGGAGATGTCTCATTCCATTTACTGCAAAACTTCAGTGATGCCATGCGTGTAACTTGCCATGAAAAATTTTGATGAACACCTTTATATTCCTTTCTATCCTTTTCAAAACATTACGACAGATCTCGTGAATGGCCCTTAATTCGCCCTCACTCTAACAAAATAACATGTTTGTTCCTTTGACATATGAAACCGAGTTTCCTTATTATATGTTGAATTTCACCTTTATATTTAAGATTGTGGTGATCCTACTCCATCGTTTGGCTCTTCAAATGGCTCGACATATGATTACGGTGAAACGATAGAAATAACATGTCAAAGTGGCTATAACATTCGAGGAAGTGCAGTGATATCTTGTCAAGCTGATGGTACTTGGAGCGGAACACCAACATGCGATCCACAGGGTAATCTTTTTTTTCTTACAAAGTCAGAAGAAATTCCCAATCTATATAATATCTCAGTCTTAAGTTTAGAGAAAGTAATAAAATGTTCTCGTATATAGTTGTTAAAAAACTGAGAATCTGTTCTAATTAAACTAATTGCAGACCGCTTAGAAGACATTTCTTCGTGAAAATAACAAACGAAATATTCTTTACTTAGTGGACACCAGACGGATATTCCTATAACCTGCCAGCAATAAATGAAAATATTTATAGATGTATGTGTCATTCTGACATGTTTTCAATGTATTGCTTGCACCTATCAGAGTCTTTCAAATAGAAGAATTGCCTGCCTCATTTGATAGATTTTTTTATATGAAACGATCGTGTCTTTTCAGCTTGATTTAGCAATAACTTAACTATGCCAAAATTTTAATATTTTTCATTCTGTTATTGAGTTGTTAAATTCAGTAGTGTTTGAACTCTCTAGTGTGTTGCCTTGTGGGAGAAAGCGGTTTAAAGACGCAAGTGTATTTGTTAGCGCGAATATATATTATTCTGTCACACTTTTGTGTATCTATGATACATGTGAGTTTCTTTGAGCTCACAAACCAATGTCTCGAGTCATTCTCACTTAAATTTTCAAGTTTTATAATGACAAGTGCCATGTTTTCCATGATTGCTGCGTTGATAATAAGATAAATATTCATTGGGTAAATAAATGTTTGCACAAGTTCAATAAGCAGCGTAAAAGTGGACATGAAAAAAGCCCTCTTTCAAATATAAGAACACAAAAGATATTCGGTGAAGGTCACCCACATGACTTATATAGTGACTGAACACCAGACCATCTAAAGTTTAATTAAAGGCAATAAATTGTCAGTAAAGCTAAATGTGAACATACAAAATGGATTTAAACGACAAACACAAACGCATAATAGTAGCTGAAAAAAATATATAAATGAACAAAATGACATGTGACAAAATATATGTTTAATGGTATACATACTCTTATTTCTTATGCGAAAATGATTGCCGCGATACACGTACTTGTCATTTGTTACAAATGACGTTTCTTAAATACCGGAGTGTAACTCTTTAAATGGCGATAAAAATCTTCTTCAATTAATCAGTATGTTTAGGTTATAATACATCCAACATTAGCAATTGACTAATCTGCCTATGTGACATGTTAAAAACTGAAAAAAGCAGGGTATTGATATTTGTTGTATGTATTGATTAAAACTATGATTTCAGTATTTTATCGTGTATATATTCTGATTTACTTAAATACTAGAGTGATCTCACACTAAATAAATTGTTTTAAAATGATTGACTTTATTTAATAATAAATACATTATTTGAAGATTGTGGAGACCCGACGCCATCTGGCGGTGCTGCTGATATCTTGTATGGCACAACTTACGGAATGAATGCAACTATATCTTGTAACAAAGGTTACAGTCTGAACGGTTCTTCCAGCATAACATGTGGCGTCAACGGCTGGTCGGAATCTCCCATTTGTGAAATTCAAGGTGATAATGATTTAATTTTTAAACAATTTTTTTTTTTATAAATTTCTATTAAGTTTATTTTTATGAAAGTATTTATGTCATGACATTACTGTCATTTTCTCATTTCCTTGAATGCTTCTCGGCTAATATATTTTTGTCATAGATAACACACCCACCTGTTTCTCAATTCTATTTTACATTCCCGTTCAAACAGCTTTAAAATCATTCGAAAATCAACACGACAATATTAAGTATGTACATGCAGTTTTTAAATAGTTTATAGGCTTTCACAATCTAAGAAATTAAATTTTAAAAGTACTTTCCTTTCCAGATTGCGGTTCTCTTTCACTTGACCATGGTACAGTTCTTGCACCGGAAGGAACTACATACGGATCAATGGCATATGTCACATGTAACGATGATTATGTTCTTGATGGCGATGTATTATTACGGTGTCAAGAAGGTCAAACATGGAGCGACTATCCTGTTTGTGTAAGAGGTAAAACATAGAAAATTTAATATGTATCACCGAAAATGGACCTGAAAATTACAGAAACTGAAGCATGTGCCTCATTTATTAAGGAAAATGTGTCTTGAAGTAGAAACTCGTGCGATTTGTTATGTTTATAATCTTTTCAACGAAATTCAAGCATTTAGCCTAATTATACCATCATTTTTGTGTCGCCTCTACGGAGTAGTGGCGACATATAGGGATCACTTCTCCGTCGTCTGTCTGTCCGTCTGTCTATCCGTCTGTCCGTCCGTCACAAAACTTGTCCTACTCCTCATAAATTACTGGTGCAATTCCATCCAAACTTTACCGGAATGATTAGTACCAAGTCTAGTTGTGCATATTGTCAGCATTTTCCGGTTCAATGATTTTTGTCAGAGTTATGGCCCTTTAATAATTTTTATTTTTAAAGTTTGTCCGGACTACTTCTCTTATACCTCTAATGCAGTTTCAATGATACTTTACAGGATTGATATGTAGCTCAAGTCATTGCGCACATTGCACGGGTTTTCCGGTTGAATGATTTTTGGCCGAGTTATGGCCCTTTGATTAAAAGGTGTTTTTTCTGTGTGTTGCCAGATACACAAAAGCTTGTCCGGACTACCCCTCATAAACTACTGGTGCAATTTCATCCAAATTTTACAGGAATGATCAGTACCAAGTCTAGTTGTGCACTGTCCGTCTGTCTGTCAGTCTGTCACAAAACTTGTCCCAACATGAAATTGGCCATCATGAGGCGAAACATGTGATCACTGATCGCTCTTGTTTGTTGCTGTATTTTTTTCCAATTTTATTTCAAGTTTTGTCTTAGAGAGTATTAATCAATCAAGAGTATCAATTTCAGATTGTGGTGATCCAACACCGGAACACGGTCAGGCAAATATTTTAGCAGACACACGCTTAGATCAGATGGCTATAATTACATGTGATAGCGGATATATTTTAGACGGTCACTCGGTTATAAAATGTCTTGAAACAGGCTGGAACGCAACATTAGCTTGTACTATCCAAGGTAAATAAATGATATGTTTCAAGTTTGTCATTCAAAGTAGTTCTTCCGTGCAGTAGTTAAAGTTAGAAACGATAATGACCAAGAACTTTGGTTTAGTTTGTTTTGAGTAGAATAGTTTCTGTGTGAGTGCTACTTCATAGTTTGAAATCAATATAACTATATTTTGATATATACTCATTTAAACAGAAAATGTGGCGACCACTTGGAAACCGTAAAATATGTTTGTTAACAACCTAGATAATTATGAAAATTTACTGTTTACTTGCGCATGAGATTTTCTCTGTCTCTGTGTGTTAGTAGAATTATTTATTCATTCTCAGATGCTCGAGTGTAAAATATTTGACTTGGAAGTAAAACAATTGTTCAATTTATCTCTATATGCAGATTGTGGTATTCCTTCGCTAGAAAATGGCGAGGCACTGACACCAGAGGGTACACAGTTCGGAGACTCTGCTATAATCACATGTAACGAGGGCTTCACTGTTGAGGGCAGTGTATTTATATCGTGCGAATACAGTGGCAACTGGAACTCATATCCAAACTGTACAATCATAGGTGAAATATAAGCGTTTTTTGCTTACTACATGTCTTTGTCTGTTTTCATTCTGAAATAACAAACATCTTCAGTAACAGAAGATTTTATCCAGTAATGCGATTACATTACATTTTTAACGGATATAATAATAGATATTAAAATCAAGCCGTGAAATTGTAGAAAAATATGAGAGGCCTAATGTGCTGAAATGTTTGTTTTGTTATGTAATACCGCGAATGGAACATCAAAACGTATTTATGTAACTGAAAGAGATGTACGAATACTTGTTATTTAAAAGAAATAATATTATATATTTATATTCTTGGTTTCTCTGCCTATTTATAGATTGTGGTGACCCAACTCCTTATAAGGGCTCAGCAAGTTCTAACATTACAACTTATAATAGCACCATTGAAATAGAATGTGACGCTGGTTACGCCATATCAGGTTCGTCAATAATCACGTGCAAGGCAGATGGCACTTGGAGCAACACACCCACATGCGATCCTAATGGTAATTTTAACAATGTCACTTTATTAATACTACTCGGTAGCAGACGAGGGAAGCTTGATAACTCTTGACAATTATGCCATTTAGTTGACTAAATTGAGTAAACTCATGCAATGAACGTAGTAAGATTTATAGGTTTATCCTTAAAAATAACAATGAAATACTAGTTATATAAACGAAACAAAAAAAATTGTTTTGCATTGCAGATTGTGGAAACCCTACCCCAGCGAATGGATATGCAAATTTGACGTTCGGAACTACTTTCGGTTCTAATGTTACAGTCACCTGTAATTCCGGCTACAATTTAACGGGTGATTCTTTGATAGTGTGTCAGCAGTCTGGGTGGAGTGATACACCAAGCTGTGTAATTCAAGGTCAGAATATTTTACTCATTGAAGATCTAAGTTTTAATCCAAAATGTTGTTCCTGTTTTAACGACATATGAAATGCACATATTGTCATACTAGTGAAAAGGTGATGTTTGAATTCACCTAAATGGTCATAATATACTTTCCATGACGTTGGAGATTTTTGACGAGAAAGAATATTCCCTTTATGTAATATGCCTAAAAAAATCTTGTTCTTACCTATAGTAAAGATGAGAGTATATACATTTACCTGCAATTTTACCTCTAAAGTGGTTTAAAATAACAGTAATTCACTTTCAAAAGGCATTTTGTATGTATAGAATGTGAAGATCCGACGCCGACGAATGGCACAACGATTATGTCGATAGGTGGTACAACGTTTGGATCTGTTGTAATAGTTAGTTGTGATGATACTTACCAGCTGGTTGGCCACTCACACATCTACTGTGGTGCCGGTTCAGAGTGGAGTTCGAAACCTTCTTGTATCAAAGGTTAGATCACTATCTTGCTTCATTGTAAGATATTTTACTAGCTCAAGTGTTATAAAACATGTTATGATTTAGAGATATATATATCAAGTAGTTGCAGTTGATGTGTTTATTTTTGTAACAATATAGTCACACATAAATCAATAGCATCTTGCATTTGTTGTTGCAAAATTCTAATATTTCCTGCAAAGAAATGAAACAGTTGAATATGATATTTACAACAATATTGAGATATTCCAATTTTGCTCAAATGGAGATTTACTTTGTTGTATTTTCGATTGCAATGTATAATCCCTATGTTAGAGAGAAAAGCATAACGGTTTTAAAAACAATATATTGTTTTGTACATTTATATAAAGTTTTATGTTAAAACTTGGTAAGCAATGGTAGATTTTCTAAATTTGTTTTCAAGATTGTGGAGATCCCTCTCCTAGTAATGGTGACGCTGACACAACATCGGGTACAACGCTAAATGAGACCGCATTAATCACGTGTAACCCAGGGTATACCATAAATGGTTCCTCTTCCCTATCGTGTCTTGATAGCGGATGGGACAGTACTCCAACATGTAGTAAACAAGGTAAGTTTGTAATTTATTTACCACATTATTATACTTTTTTATTTTATGCTTTTCAGTGGATTACTTATTTATCCGTGAAAATTATATTTGATAATTTCACAGTGAAAATTATCAAAATATAATTTAACACTTTTCAATGACTTTTCAATTTTAACAATGTCAGGCTGTTTATAGAAAAGCAAAGCTGATATTGATAAATAACTTAAATGTCAAAAGTAATAAAAAGAAGAAAACTTACTTCTATTCATCCAAATAACCAATCACCAAATATCGTCTCTAACATTTTTTGTTTCATTTTTACATTCTGAAAAATACATTCCTTCCACATGCAAAACTGCTCTTGATGACATTTCTGCTTATTTAAATATCCTACGAGCAATAACTGCCGTATACTTTATGAAAACTTGAAAAGCAATAAGAATAAGTAAACAACCCAGCGTTCGTAAGGCAGCCTTTCAACAATTCCAAGTTTCCAATTTCCTTGCCATTTTTTTAATGTTTACACATCTGTCAACACTTATATATTGTCTGTTACAATCCTCAAATATGTTTTCTTTCTTTTAAAAAGGTGTATGACTAACAAATCCTAATGATATCCCTCTGAATCAAACACAATTATTTTCCTCCCGTGAAATACTCAACTATAAAAAATGGCGGCCGCTTACATTTAACAGAGCCAGGTCTAATATATATTCGCAGAAAGTTACAGAAATACGGATGGATGGTTGGACTTTTCCTCCTACTGGAATTGTTTGTTTTTATAATTAAAACAAGCGATCATTCATTTTTTTTAATAAAATGAATACTATAACCGCCATTTAACGTTGATTATCGAACTTATTTTTTCAGCCAAAGACTTCTTGTATTTTTTATGAGAAATTCGACTAATACATGTACATAATAGAGGCTACCAGTGGTGAAAACAGATTTTAATATTAAACTTAATATTAAGGAAATTTCTTTTTAACTTGTTTTTAAGCATAAAATAAAAAAAAAACATTGTTTTTTTGTTGTGTAAGATGTAATTTTATTTCATCTCGTGAACTTTAAAAACAGTATTCTCACGAGTGGCTTCATCTTACACACAAACAAACAATTATCCTCTATGTTTCTACTCAATAATCATCAGATTGGATACTTTTTCTACTTTGTTGGAGGTCATTATGCTTTTGAAGGGTGTTTTTCTTAGACTATTTTTTAATGTTTTCTTAACTAGCTGTTTGCAACAAATTTCATTTGCGAGTAATATCTTTAACACCGTCATACTAAAGTATTTCTGCATGTAACAAATGCATCTACTATATTTCAATACGCCTATATAAGGTTTTAAATACTTATAAACCATATAAATATATTCATTAGTTTACTTAATCAACGCAACTGAAGTGTTAAAACAGTTGGGTAATTGAACACCTGTAATATATAGAACAGTATTCTTCAAAGAAGATGACATTTTTATATGTAAGAATAATTTGGTGTATAATTGTGGTTTCGTTTTTTTTCCTATTGTATATCTTTTTTTCCAGATTGTGGAGAACTTACTATAACAAATGGGGTTGCAAATGTTCCAGCTGGTACTACTTTTGGGGAAGTTGCCTTTATTAGTTGTAACGAAAGTTATGTACTGCAAGGAAATGAACATATAATATGCGAGGACGGTGGACTATGGAGCTCTACCCCGACGTGTATCAAAGGTATTTCCTCACCTGGCATCCTAATCTATATATTTGTTTTTTATTACAGAAGTTCTAACTGTAAATATATTCATTCATAATTAATGAATTGTTGCAATGCCGGCATAAAATCATTGGTCGTTTATTCAAATTAGTCTGACTACTGTCCCATATGTAAACAATATTAACTTCTTATAACAAGGTACAATTGATAACAAATATCTGGAAAAAGTGATCCCTCGGAAGCATTAAAAACAGCAAAACGACATGAAATTGCAAACTCTGTTTGATTGAGTTTGTACATGAGGGATAATGAAAACGTGTTGATTTGAATAAATTACTTGATTATCGAGCTTCGCTTATTTTTATAATTTTCTTCCCCATTACGATACTTTGTTTCATTTCTTTTTTACCATTTTTATCAAACATTCTGGACATGGTTCTTAAAGTCATTGTTAAAAGAGGATACATCGAAACTTATAATTTGTTTCAGACTGCGGGATTCCAACAGTTGAAAATGGAAATGTTGAACATACATCGGGCACATTACTGGGGAGTTACGTGAGTGTCACGTGTAATGCTGGCTATAATATATCAGGTGATGACACGTGGACATGCGGAGATATCGGTTGGAATACTACAGCCACGTGTGTAATTCAGGGTACTGATCTTAAATTAGTATTATAATAATCGTACATAATACAAAAATGTTCTGTTACACTTAAGTTTCCAGCTTTATTTGTCATAGAAGAAAAAAAGTCGATACAATATCAAATTCCGTTCAAGTTTGAAATGAATACACAATGTTCTGTTACACAATGGTTATTATATGCATTGATCTGCCAAAATTATTAAAAATCGCATATTTTTTTTACTTTTTTCAACGTACGTTAATATAGACATTTATCTTCACTTCTTGATAAGCTAATTAACCAGGGCGTTGTTAAACTTCAGCTTCATGAGCTATTCAATTTAATGAAATTAATATTATGAGATGCTGTTATGTGTACAAACAAATAAAACTAAAATAATTCAAGTACAATTAATGATAATGAACTCTTATACTACAATAAGTATCAAGTAACTTGGACATCTCTTCAATTTCATATGCATGTTTATAAGCCCAAACGTACTGCCTTTTATTAGTTACGGTGTTTCAAAAATGTTATGGTTGAATTAATATACTTAGTTATTATTGCAAATTATACAGTGGAAAATTAGCACACAAAAAACTAAATAACTTTGAAATGCTACTTATTTCAGATTGTGGTAATCTATCTATTACAAACGGTGTAGCAAACCTTCCTACTGGATCAACTTACGGAGAAGTGGCCTTCGTTAGCTGTAATGAAACGTATAAACTGCAAGGAAATGAATATATAACTTGTCAAGACGGGGGATTGTGGAGTTCTTACCCATCATGTATTAAAGGTACAAGTTAAACACATCGTGCGATCTGTTATATTTACAACCATTTCAACGAAATTTAAGCATTTAGCCTAATTATACAATCGTTTTTGTTTCAATTAATAAGTATTAATCAATCGAGTATCGATTTCAGATTGTGGTGATCCAACACCGGAACACGGTCAGGCAAACATTTTAGCAGGCACACACTTAGATCAGATGGCTACAATTACATGTGATAGCGGATATATTTTAGACGGTCACTCGGTTATAAAATGTCTTGAAACAGGCTGGAACGCAACATTAGCTTGTACTATCCAAGGTAAATAAATGATATGTTTCATGTTTGTCATTCAAAGTAATTCTTCCGTGCAGTAGTTAAAGTTAGAAACGATAATGACCAAGAACTTTGGTTTAGTTTGTTTTGAGTAGAATAGTTTCTGTGTGAGTGCTACTTCATAGTTTGAAATCAATATAACTATATTTTGATATATACTCATTTAAACAGAAAATGTGGCGACCACTTGGAAACCGTAAAATATGTTTGTTAACAACCTAGATAATTATGAAAATTTACTGTTTACTTGCGCATGAGATTTTCTCTGTCTCTGTGTGTTAGTAGAATTATTTATTCATTTTCAGATGCTCGAGTGTAAAATATTTGACTTGGAAGTAAAACAATTGTTCAGTTTATCTCTATATGCAGATTGTGGTATTCCTTCGCTAGAAAATGGCGAGGCACTGACACCAGAGGGTACACAGTTCGGAGACTCTGCTATAATCACATGTAACGAGGGCTTCACTGTTGAGGGCAGTGTATTTATATCGTGCGAATACAGTGGCAACTGGAACTCATATCCAAACTGTACAATCATAGGTGAAATATAAGCGTTTTTTGCTTACTACATGTCTTTGTCTGTTTTCATTCTAAAATAACAAACATCTTTAGTAACAGAAGATTTTATCCAGTAATGCAATTCCATTACATTTTTAACGGATATAATAAAAGATATTAAAATCAAGTCGTGAAATTGTAGAAAAATATGAGAGGCCTTATGTGCTGAAATGTTTGTTTTGTTATGTAATACCGCGAATGGAAAATCAAAACGTATTTATGTAACTGAAAGAGATGTACGAATACTTGTAATTTAAAACAAATAATATTATATATTTATATTCTTGGTTTCTCTGCCTATTTATAGATTGTGGTGACCCAACTCCTTATAAGGGCTCAGCAAGTTCTAACATTACAACTTATAATAGCACCATTGAAATAGAATGTGACGCTGGTTACGCCATATCAGGTTCGTCAATAATCACGTGCAAAGCAGATGGCACTTGGAGCAACACACCAACATGCGATCCTAATGGTAATTTTAACAATGTCACTTTATTAATACTACTCGGTAGCAGATGAGGGAAGCTTGATAACTCTTGACAACTATGCCATTTAGTTGACTAAATTGAGTAAACTCAGGCAATGAACGTAGTAAGATTTATAGGTTTATCCTTAAAAATAACAATGAAATACTAGTTATATAAACGAAACAAAAACATTGTTTTGCATTGCAGATTGTGGAAACCCTACCCCAGCGAATGGATATGCAAATTTGACGTTCGGAACTACTTTCGGTTCTAATGTTACAGTCACCTGTAATTCCGGCTACAATTTAACGGGTGATTCTTTGATAGTGTGTCAGCAGTCTGGGTGGAGTGATACACCAAGCTGTGTAATTCAAGGTCAGAATATTTTACTCATTGAAGATCTAAGTTTTAATCCAAAATGTTGTTCCTGTTTTAACGACATATGAAATGCACATAGTGTCATACTAGTGAAAAGGTGATGTTTGAATTCACCTAAATGGTGATAATATACTTCCATGACGTTAAAGATTTTTGACGAGAAAGAATATTCCCTTTATGTAATATGCCTGAAAAAAAATCTTGTTCTTACCTATAGTAAAGATGAGAGTATATACATTTACCTGCAATTTTACCTCTAAAGTGGTTTAAAATAACAGTAATTCACTTTCAAAAGGCATTTTGTATGTATAGAATGTGAAGATCCGACGCCGACGAATGGCACAACGATTATGTCGATAGGTGGTACAACGTTTGGATCTGTTGTAATAGTTAGTTGTGATGATACTTACCAGCTGGTTGGCCACTCACACATCTACTGTGGTGCCGGTTCAGAGTGGAGTTCGAAACCTTCTTGTATCAAAGGTTAGATCACTATCTTGCTTCATTGTAAGATATTTTACTAGCTCAAGTGTTATAAAACATGTTATGATTTAGAGATATATATATATATCAAGTAGTGCAGTTGATGTGTTTATTTTTGTAAACAATATAGTCACACATAAATCAATAGCATCTTGCATTTGTTGTTGCAAAATTCTAATATTTCCTGCAAAGAAATGAAACAGTTGAATATGATATTTACAACAATATTCAGATATTCCAATTTTGCTCAAATGGAGATTTACTTTGTTGTATTTTCGATTGCAATGTATAATCCCTATGTTAGAGAGAAAAGCATAACGGTTTTAAAAACAATATATTGTTTTGTACATTTATATAAAGTTTTATGTTAAAACTTGGTAAGCAATGGTAGATTTTCTAAATTTGTTTTCAAGATTGTGGAGATCCCTCTCCTAGTAATGGTGACGCTGACACAACATCGGGTACAACGCTAAATGAGACCGCATTAATCACGTGTAACCCAGGGTATACCATAAATGGTTCCTCTTCCCTAACGTGTCTTGATAGCGGATGGGACAGTACTCCAACATGTAATATACAAGGTAAGTTTGTAATTTTTTTACCACATTATTATCCTTTTTTATTTTATGCTTTTCAGTTGATTACTTATTTATTCGTGAAAATTATATTTGATAATTTCACAGTGAAAATTATCAAAATATAATTTAACACTTTTCAATATCAAATTCCGTTCAAGTTTGAAATGAATACACAATGTTCTGTTACACATGCATCGATCCGCCAAAATTATTTAAAATCGTATATTTTGTACTTTTTTCAACGTACGTTAATATAGACATTTATCTACAGTTCTTGATAAGCTAATTAACCAGGGCGTTGTTAAACTTCAGCTTCATGAGCTATTCAATTTAATGAAATTAATATTATGAGATGCTGTTATGTGTACAAACAAATAAAACTAAAATAATTCAAGTACAATTAATGATAATGAACTCTTATACTACAATAAGTATCAAGTAACTTGGACATCTCTTCAATTTCATATGCATGTTTATAAGCCCAAACGTACTGCCTTTTATTAGTTACGGTGTTTCAAAAATGTTATGGTTGAATTAATATACTTAGTTATTATTGCAAATTATACAGTGGAAAAAGATATTAGCACACAAAAAACTAAATAACTTTGAAATGCTACTTATTTCAGATTGTGGTAATCTATCTATTACAAACGGTGTAGCAAACCTTCCTACTGGATCAACTTACGGAGAAGTGGCCTTCGTTAGCTGTAATGAAACGTATAAACTGCAAGGAAATGAATATATAACTTGTCAAGACGGGGGATTGTGGAGTTCTTACCCATCATGTATTAAAGGTACAAGTTAAACATATTGTTTCAATATATTATCATTATATATGCTGTCAGTCAATGTGGTTATATGAGTAGAATTACTTATAATTGTTACATAATTTGTTATTGAATATAATCATTTTCAATAACAATATTGATTGTTGATCGCTTATTCCTAATTGTCACGTTTTCTTTTCTCTGTTGTCATCTAAATTTGTAAACATAACAAAAATTCTATATGAAAAATAAACATTTGTCAGTAAAATATCTTTATTAATTTATCTGAGATGTAGCGAACAATGTAGCTCGATTAAACTTCTATTTCATTTTAGACTGCGGTACACCAGTGGTTGAGAACGGAAAAGTGGACATCACATTTGGCACTTTGTTAAACAATTCTCTAACAGTGACATGTGATGAAGGCTATAATATATCGGGAGATTCAACATGGACATGTGCTGATTCTGGCTGGGACTCTTCAGCTATATGTGTTATTCAAGGTTAGTGTGGTTCTTATGTTCCTGTTATACATTTACTATTTCAAACGGTGTGAAACTATATTACAGCTGTAGTTCAAATGAATATTTAATCCTTAAAACTAAATGATAAAAACATTGTTTTTTTTTATTTGATGATATTTGTAAACATTTATTAGTAAAAAAAAATGAAAACAAAAAAGCTGTTATTTGAATTAAAGTTTTATGCTTAATAATATAAGACATGTTCTGTTCCATTTTTTGTTAATTGTCAACTATTATCAATGAAATGTTATTTTTGGTTTTCTTTAAAGGAATGTAGAGTCTATTATTTCATGAATTTGAACGATTTGGAACTCTTTCAAAGCATTAAAACAACATTGCAAACAATATTTTAATGATGTGTAGTCGCATCGTAACAATACTGCAGAATGAAGAACTATAGTTTCTATAGCGGTTTTTATCCGGAAGTGGATGTTGTTCGTTAAAGACTTAACCTGTTACGACTGCGGAGATATAGCTTATAACTCTGTATACATTGCAAGCAATGTATACAAAAACCAAATTTGTAAAACTGTTACATGGAGAAGGGATGTTGATATTTTCTGTATGTACCTTTTAGACAATAATACAGTTCCGTTTATGCATACAACCTTACTAGGTTCAACTATTTTTGGTGTAATTATTCATGAATGCCTGTAAATTTAGCAAAATATAATATTTATCTTCCTAAAATTCTATATTACTTGTAACGAAATAGTTCTACATATTTAAGATTGCGGGGACCCTTTACCTTCAAATGGAGTGGCAAACCTTCCCACAGGATCGACTTACGGAGAAGTTGCATTTATTGTATGTAACGAAACGTATATTCTTGAAGGAGTGGAACATATAACCTGTGAAGACGGAGGAACATGGAGTTCTAACCCAACGTGTATTAAAGGTATTCATTTTCATTTTCCCAATAACATGTCAGTAGTTTCACCATCTTTAACAATCAGAATATTGATATTGAAACAGAAGAAGAAATTTTCAATATTATTTTTTAACTCAAGCACAAATTATTTTTAATTGAATGTGCCATTTTTTATCATTTGACATCAGGTACTATTTACAAAAGAGATGCTTGAAAGAGCTCAATTTATTATAATAATTCAATATAATTTATAAACTGTTTTAATTTGATTGTGCCATATTTTATTTGTCAGTTGACTATTCATGCTATACATATTTGACTTTGCACACTATACATAAAAGATAGTTTAAATAACTCAATTTATTTAGAATACTTACAAGCAATAACGTTTGACTTCACTAGTGAATTTTCAAAACTATTTTCAGACTGTGGAGTCCCAGTAATTGATAACGGGAATGTGGACTACCCGTCTGGCACGTTATTTAGTCAGTCTGTGACTGTCATGTGTAATGCAGGATACAATATAACTGGTGATACAAGCTGGACATGTGATGATTCGGGATGGAACGGTAAAACTACCTGTGATATTCAAGGTATGTATTGTCAGACACATAATGTTTGTAAGAAAATAAAATGATTATGTATTCTGTTGTATGATTTGTTATCCTGTTGTTTTGAATTCATCACGAATGTCGTACAATATATATTCAAGGTGAATATGCAATATGTTTGATGTTTTGTGCTGTTATTCTCATATAATTAGCTTTTAAGATTTTTATGGGTTATATGGGTAACAATTAACGATTATTAGGTAATATAACTCATGGCGATTATCATTGTAAATAGTTATATCACATGGCAAAAATATTTATAAAGAATTTATAAAACAGCAAAATTCCGTTACTTGAAGAGAAATGAAAATGAACATTACGTACAAACGTGCTTTATTTAACAAACGATTTTGCATCTTGAAATTTCCTTTTCCTGTTCCTTCTTTACAACATGTTACTGCTTCACTAATCATACAAACTTTGATTTCCTTACATCAAAGTATCTTACTTATTTTGTCGGCAAAGAAAATACTTTTACATTTATTATAAACATAATCTATTTAAGCTCGATTGCATAACAAGCTCTTGCAACTTACATCAATCACATTCGAGTCCGCTTGCTGGAACTAACCATTACTGATATTATATTTGAAAAATATGATTGTGACCCGAGTAAGGCTTGAACCCATGATCCTTGTGTTGAAAGGCAGAAACCTTAACCATTATTCCACCGCTTCCTATACTTTAACATAGTGAGAGCCGATAAACAATACACATTTCAAACGATAAAGAAATTTCCATTCAGTTAATGTTGCCTAGCCATAATTAAAGAAGATGCATTCCTGATAAAGAATATAACAAGGTGCACTGTGAACAAATGGCATTAGATAATGTTGCTTTATTATTGAGAAAAAAATGTGTAATTTGCTTCCAATATCTTTTATTAACATCCTTTTACACGTTGACGAGATCTAAATCATTGTGAATAAATAAAGCGTAAGGCCATGTAATAGCTTTTATGAACTATTAGTAACTTGAAATTCATATTGTTCAGTATGCGATGATCCTACACCGGACAACGGATATTCCCAGCTACCTAACGGAAGGACGTTTGGATCATTTGCATTGTTAACATGTTGGACTGACTACACACTGGTAGGAGACTCTCTTGTAGAGTGCCTTAATGGCGGAGTATGGAGCGATACACCTACTTGTGTAAAAAGTAAGATTGTAAATAATGAACTTTATTATCAATGCTTAGTAGTTTAACTCTGACATGATACAAATTCGCAGAGAAACGTCGTATACTGTGTTTAAACACTCATTTTCACTCATATTTGCCAATTTCAGATTTCAAAAGTACAGCAATAATAGCTATACAGTATTCTTATTTAATTCACACTTTATAAAATGTAACCAATAAACATCCAGCTTTTTTGCACCACGTTTTGTTTAAAATCGAAATCATTACTGGATCAGATCTTATTTATTTAGTCTTGTTTTCATTTTTCGAGTCCAAAAATCCATATCAAATCCATACTGTAATCTACCTAGTCTTTTTTATTTTCTGAGGCCAAACAGTCCATATCAAATACATATTATTTACTCTGTCTACTGTCTTTTACATGTCCTGAGTCCATAATTAGTATCAAATCGCACTCGAAGTTACAAAGTTGTTCTGTCAAAATGTCAAAACATAAATGGTGTGAAATAAATGACCCATTATACAGTGTTGAATACAAAACTGATTATTTTCGACTGGTACACAGCTGCAAATCCTACATCGGACCCTGCTAGCACTTCGTCCGATATAGGTTTGACAACTGTGTATTTGTAGCATAGCATTTAGTATAGCGTTCAACAATTTATAATAACTTTTTATACAACTCTTTATCTATATTGGATAATTGTTCAAAATCATGTCCATTTTTTTGATTAAGTTTCACACTAGTTCAGCTTCACAATATTTAATTTACAATATTTTGCAAAATACATATTGTACAGAAAACTGTGTTTTTGTTGTTTGACCAACATAAACTGTCAACCTTTTTACGACAATAAATAATCAAGTTAAATATGTTATGTAAACAATTTTAGACTCGCAACTTCCTGATGCTATTACCACTACCACTAGTAAGTATTTATTGTACAAATGTAATAATTTGTGATTGTGCAGTGTTGTTTTCATATACGTTGCATGGTTGTACTGTGTGTGCTATTGCATAATGTATTACTTAAATGCTTTTCAAACTAGTTATATAAGTAGAAGAAGAAGCTTTATTCTAATATACAATTGACAGAGCCAAAATAGCTCAGAGTCACATATTTTGGTATATAAACGTATGAATTAATATTTGCATCAATTAGGCAACAATAAAATTGTGAATGTAATAAACAAAGTGAAGTGTTCCTAAATGTAAAATAGTAATATGCATACAGTGTATTACAAAACACTGAACGAGTATTGCTCTACACTACTCTTACAAGCTTTGAAATCTTTTTACATGTGGTTACTTTCCTTGCATTTCAAAATTGGTTTTAAATGATATCTATAAATACAAATTAACATGCCCTTAACTAGAATAAACCGAATAATTGTGTTCTTTACAATATGTCTATACGTAAATTAGCTGGTGTCTTTTCATAACTGAATAAGCTCCCATAACAATTTCTTATTAAGATTAATACTATTAACAATATATACGTTATTTTGCATCTGATTGTTTTTTGTATAATTTGTATAAAACAATTTCAGTTTGTACATACATACAAACATACATACATACATACATTGTGTCAATGTGACGTAAAACCCAAAACAAACAAACAAACAAACAAAACATACATACATACATACATACATACATACATACATGCATGCATGCATGCATGCATGCATGCATACATACATACATACATACATACATACATACATACAAGCTAAAAGTCAAATTTAAAGCTAAATATCTACAAAACGGACAATAAAGTAAGAAGTATAAAGCAAAGATCATAATTGCCTATAAAATAGGAAGGGGATATAAGTTTGGTGTTGTCCGTCCGGGTCAACATCCCAATGGTTAATAAGGAAAAAACTAAAATACTTCTTTGTTCACATTTTTATATCTTTACGAAACATTTGTGCACATTCAACACTACTTTCGTCATTTGTGAAACATCTAACATGCTCTTAATGCATAATTGAAACATTATTATAACACATGTTTGACATTTCTAAAGAGTTTTAAAAAAATGATTTCTGAGGCATAATGTGCCTTTAAAGAAAAGAGGAAATCTACATGAACATAAACCGTCGGTTTAAGTGACAGTTTTCACAGGTTTTTCACATATGGATTCCACGAAATAGTGTATCATTGAGATATATATATAACTTTTTTTCTCTTCCAATAAGCATTTTAAAGATCTATTTCCATCCGGAATCGTAAATAGAATCAGATTTGTTACATTATTAACTTTTGCAAAACTGTATATAACAATTATGTCTTAAAATATGCATCAATTGGCATCAAGTTTAATTCATTCAGTTATTGCTGACCGTAAGGAAACTTTCAAGTCACTGACCAAACTAAGAACTTTTTCTTTTTTCATGTTTAATCAACTTGTGAGAATATAAGCAAAATATGCCTACATTTTTATGCCCCCACAAAGTGGGGAGCATATAGCGTTGCACTTGTCCATCCGTCTGTCCGTCCGTCCGTACGTACGTCTGTCCGTCCTTACGTCCCGAAATCTTGTGAACGCAACTCCTCTTAAACCGGATGGCAGATTTTGCTTAAACTTCCAGGGATGAACTACCTTAATGTGTAGATGGTAGTAAAGGAAGGAATTTTCGCTTCGACCAGATTTAACAGAATTATGGCCCTTTGTTGATTTTTTCACTATATACTATGTAGAAATTTTGTGAACGCAACTCCTCTTAAACCGGATGGCAGATTTTAAAAAAAAGTTCCACATAAAAATCTTACATACAGATATGCATGCTCTTGTTTTCGAGCACATCTGCACAGTGGGGGCATCCGTGTCTTTTGGACACAGTTCTAGTTCATTTAGTGTACAAACATTTTTGATTTAGTATACATACATGCTTTTAGTGTGCACACAATTTTATTAAGTGAACATTCATTTTATATGTAATGTACACTTGATTAAGTGTATATACATTTATTGATTTGGTTAACATACATTTTTATTAGTGTACATAATTTGTAAAATCTTATGTTTTATAGGATATAGGAAATGTTGATAACTTTAACTCTACAAGTACCAAGAGCTCTGGAACTAAGACTTCATTTATTTAACAATTGCTAAAATTGGACTTTAATATGATTTTTTTATATCTGAAGCAGCGTAATCAAATAAATAAAATAGACATTATTTATGTGTTCAATTAACTTGTTTATCAAACTCAATAAATTTAATGATAAACTAAAAGTTAAGGCATCAATGCACCAAAAACTAATAATTGTTATTTTGAGTAATTTACAGTTAAACAATAACGCAACGACATTTCACAGGATCATTATAATGTTTGACGTCATTAAAATCTCAAAACAGTGTCATCTATCTCACATTCTTGCTTCATTCAAATAATTTGTTTTATTTGTCAATGTATTTGCTTGTCTAGTTATTTAACTGTCTCATACAAAGCGTAATATATGTATAAAAAGTGTTATCTGATAAGTTATTATGAATGCAACAGGACAGCAGTAGTAGCATTTTTAAATGAGTTAGAAACTGATACATGAAAGCATTCTTTTTATAATACAAATTTAGACACCTCCTTTTGAAGACAAATATAAATATATACAACTTTGTATTCACACAGTCATCATTAAAATGCCAATTAATATTTGAATTAACAAGAGTAAACATACTGCAATTTATGTCATCAAATAAAAAGTTCAGCATCCAACTAAATGCCACCAACCATTTAATGATTGTATCACATAAGTGCGAAGGCACCATTATTTTGGTAAAATAATCTGAATAATTTATCTTTTACTTACTATTATCATGATATACGGATATGATGCATCTGCATTTATGGTACAAATGAATAAATTTGGCATATCTTTATTTGATTACAGCGCCGAAGACCGAAGACAATACATTCAATTTTGGTAAGTACCTGATGGTGTCTTCAGTATTATCATTTTTTACTAGTACAACTTACTTATCTTTATCATGAACACCTTGCCATAAAGAAAACATAATTAGTGACTGTTGATTTTTGTCAAATCATTAACCAATCATGGAAGCTTATATAGTGCATATTATACCATAAACCGCTATGGAAGGAAAACATCTGAATATAGCTCATACCAGTACCAATTATTGAAGAAAACATAGTGCACGTAATATCATTGACCAATCATTAAAGCAAAAATATTGCACGATTTTGTTAATGAAATTTGAATCGAGTCCATAAGAAACAAAATATAACTTACTTTTTTTAGATCTTAAAATCTTTAGCAATGAAAATTATGTTATTTATGTGAAGATCAATTTGACTGTATTTTGACAAATTGAATGTATAATACATGTATTTACATTTATGATTGATTTCAGAAACGACATTGATATTTGGTCTTCTACTTGGGTTGATTGTTTTAATCGCAGTTATTGCTGTCGTGGTATTCATATACTTAAAACGTTGCCGTCACCCTGCTAATAAGGTAAACTCTTTAATTTTAAAATGAAATTCAAGTCTGTAATCTTTTTAAAATGCATACTTTCCTGTTATATGTTACTTATGGCGGAGAATAAACAACATATCTTTAATGACACACCGAATATATTTATGAAAGCATGTATTAATTTTAAAAATGCTGTAAATAATTACATAAGCTAACCTTTAGCTAAATTGTGATGCTTTACTATATTTTTACAATAGCATGAGACTATAGATGCAAATGAATTCAGACGCGGTGCAGTTCACGATGACCTAGAAAACGAGGATGGAAGCTATCCATCCGTATTAATGGCACATCCTCCTCCAAGCAGCCGTGAAGCTATGCCACCTTTACAGTTTACTCAGAAGGGCAATGTTAACATCGTACCACCAATGACAAAAAAGAAGGCACCTGACGACGTCAAGAAAGCTATTGGTGCAGCAGCAACACCATCTGCCGGTAAAGCCGTAAACGGACAGAAGAAGAAAGGTTTGCCTCCAATTCCAGACGATGTTCGCCGATTACATGGAGGTCAACAAAGAACTGGAGCGGAAGCTTCCCCGAAACCAAAAGCAGCCTCAGAAGAACTGCCTCAAACTTCTGAAATCCCCGCGCCCTTAAATGAAATAGAGGCTACAGCTGAATCAAGAGAAACTAGAATGGAAGTCTTAAATTCAGAACTAAATGACAAGCTTTCTAAAGATGACTCTCAAAAGGTGTCGGAAAAGCAAACGGGCAATCCATCCTCGGAAACTATTGATAAACAACCTGATGGAGAACCATTTGAAACTGGAGCTATTCCTAAAACCTCAAAAACTGAAATCAAGGAAACAACTGATGAAAACAAACCACCTTCTAAAAAAGAAGACAAAGCAGATATGAAACGTAAAATACCACCATCAAAGCCTAAAAAGGAAACAAAGGGAAAGACAAAACCAGTAACATCCCTTAAATCAAAGTCTCTGAAAGACTCGTCGAAACCAGTGAAAACAAAAATCAAGGGAGATAACAGTAATGGTAAGGTAGTACATGGTTTACAATCTGAGGAGACCGTGATAGATATTGAAGGTGACAAGTCAGAGAATAAACAAACAAGTCCATTACCATTTACGGCTATTCCGACTATAGACGTAGAACAATTCACGCCAAGGAAAGAAAGTCAGAAAACAGTAACCGATGGTAAAAAGACCGATGCAGGTAAATCATCTCCTGTTGATGAGAAAACGACAGGTAGGAAAGAGGCATTTGTGATAAAGAATGAAACAACGAATGATCAAAAGGATTTAGATGATTTCTTTGATGCCAGTGAAACGGAAGAAAATGTTGAAAAGAAGACTGATCATAAACTTAGCAATTTGAATAATGATAAGTTAGATTTGCAAAGTGTTAGTACAAGTCAAAGCCCTCAAAAAGATATGCATCTGCTCCATCCTCCAGTTAATAATCCTCATTTTGGACCTACCAAAAATATTGCTAATGGTCATGATGATACTGCACGGACACTCAAAGCTACGGGGTTAAATGGCCAACAACACCTTGCAACAGTAGCAAACATTTCGTCGAATGCTGAACAAATAGTGCCATCTGTTGAAAGCATTGTTCCAACTGATTCTTCCTCAGCCGCCTCAGAAAAAGCTCTAGATTCTGATACTCATACAGGAAATTTTCATGACACAGACTCATTTACATCTAATTCTGAGGTTGACATTCCATCGCCTCCACCAAAACAAACTAAGCATTTCCTTTTCGACCCGGAACCGACATCAGTATTCAGAAATCTAACCCAAAGAAACGGAAATACGGATTCATTCTTTGGAATTGATCCTCATGAAGAATTACCACCGTCAAAACCGGTAACTAGACATGGTAGATCTACAGGAGCTGCAAAGAGCGCCGCGTCATCAAGACTACTTAAATCGTCATACGGGACAAAGCCACCAGAAGCATTGACTGTGTATAACCCTGCTATTGCAAAGAAAGATAAGGATCCAATAATAAAAGATATGGAACATAATAAAAAGGAGAGAGAGAAAAGAGAAATGGAAAGAATGAGGAAAATAAGAATGGGTGCAATGTCATCTGCTTATGGGAATGTTTCACCAACTAAAGGACTGTCGAAAAAGAAATAGTTATTCGCGTTGTGACAAAAGAGCCGAATAAGAATTGAATATATGAACATTGTATCACTTACTAAGTAAAGTGTGTGAAGAAATATTTAGCGAAGTAGAACATATAAATAATATTTTTATGCCGAATAACACCAGAAACGAAAAACATTGCATTAATGCTAAATGAAGCATATTTTAGGAGAGAAAAAAAAACAGAGATTCATCTTTAAAAGGGATTGATAAACTTTTATGACAGTTCATGGAAGCATTTTAATGTTTGCCATTCAAACATTGATGTACATAGTTCATTCTTGCCAAAAATATCATAGTATCCGTCCATTTAAACTTCATGTGATATTTATTTCATTTTTGCATTATTTTTGTCAACCATATGTAGAATATTTATTACATGTACCTTAAATGAATTTGATGTTCTATATTACTTACTGTAAATTTGATGTGAAATAAATCTAACTTGAAATATATTTATATGTTTGATTTCCTTCCAAACATAGTAAAATAATACGAGGGCTACAAAATAAACTCAACTGGCATCTAATACATTTTAACCTGTTTTTAATACATTTTTGCTGAGATAGCATAAAAAACCCATCATGATATCATGTGATTTAAATGCACAGAACAAATTATAAGACTATGTGGTAAACGCTCTCACGCTCAAACGTCATACATTATGTCAATGTTTCTCCTTTTCAACGTATGGCCACTGTGTGGGATTCCTTTAAATTTCAGGCACTTTCTTCAATTTTTACCCACAGTTGTGGTCGCTTGACAGCGGGCATCACACTTTTGCATATTCTATTTGTCACTGCTCACATATTTCTTATGACACTTATATACCAACGATCAAAAAACATCCTCAGACCGGTGCTTTTCCACAGTATTTCACTTTTATATTATGACAATAGGTGTCAGTCGGCACTAAAAACAAACAATAATAACCATTTGCTGGGCCCACCAGCGTCAAACGTTGCCATTTTATTGTCTTTATTTGAGTACTGTATGGAGTAATTAAAGGATGCACTGTAAACAAATATGTCTTGCGATTTCCTTGCAATTTTGTGTTATATCGTATTCGGTAAATGTTAACGTTATAACATGTGGCTGATTAGTTGTGTTATTGACCTCTAACTCTGTTTTAAGATATTGTGTTAGGTTTGTAAAATGACGAATTTTGGTGTGGACCGCGCACGCACACCTCAGGCCAGTATTAGTGCTTTAATATTCAATGGAAAAACACTCGTGAAAAATTATGTTAGACCTGGGCGTTATTTATTTGATTTACATTCGTTATCCACGACTTTGTGGGACAGCCCTCGTATAATGGTTAAAAACAAGTTACTCTCTAAACACAACATTATAGTGCATATCTGTTTGTGTCATCACTTGACATGGACTTTGTTTTCTCTTCATTTCAACTACCATTTAAAAATTACATTACTACCATATAATATTGTGAATACTAGATACATTGTCTGTTTTTGACACATATACAGTAAACGCCGTATGGTGTTTTCCCATCTTTACTTTTTAGGAAGACCCCTGTGTACTATTAAGCGGGCTGGTTAAGTAGAACTGCTAAACCTTCAGTAAGCTAGCTGGATAGCTTTCTCGCATATCTGTAGTTGGATCCGATTCATTAATTGTAGCACTGGTGTTTAAACATACAAATACCTTTACGCTGCATGCCACCTGGATTCAGATATGGGATTTTATTTTCACCAACATTGGAGTCAATTGCAACGAGTTTGGCGAGAATGTTAAGACTGGCACGAGATTCTATATACTTGCGAGCCTTTTAAACATTGTGTGTTAAGAAAATTTAGGGTCTTACAAAAAAAGTTTTTTTTCAAGCTTAGTGGAAGAGGCGTGACATTTTCTATAAAGTATTGACTGATTTTTATATAATGGAAAAAAATCGTAAAATAAATAACATTGTCTAATGTAAGCTGGGTGGATTAAAATTAGAATCAAACTTGCAGTACATATTTTTAATACAAACCCAGTCTCATCGCACGCTGTACTTTTTCCTTTGCATGATATTAAAACAATAGCCTGAATAATAACGGCAATATTTGAGTTCACAAAGGGGGTTAATTACGTATCAGTCAATGCTAAAGTTATGGTCAGTACCCAAAAAAGTGAAGTTCTACCCAAAGAAGGGAAGTTCTAAGTTAATAATTTCTATGGAGATAGATGTTGCATAATGAATTTTCTTTACTTTACAAAGGATTGTACTCAATCAAATTCCATGCTATCGTTTTTAAACAGTGACACTACAATCATGACGCTAAAGATACTGTATATACAAAGTTACAATTATCTTCAGTGAAAAGTGATACGAAGTTGTAGGCAAAACCTGAAGGAGTTGTTTAGCTTTCATAGAAGTTTGGGTTAGTATAAGAGACCATTATTCTTAAAAATAGCCGAGCTAAAAATTCAGACAAATATTCTCACATTCAGTTCTAATAAAAAACAAGCTTACTTTACTTTTATTTTTTATTGTTGTTTTCTGGAAGAAAGTTGACAATTCACACTGTGCTACTGACGGTATCATAAATTCATAATACACAAGCTAAAGTAAAAGGTACAACATATAATAAGGCTTGATTACGAAATAAAAATATAGCCTTAATATTCTCAAAAATAAATCATGATTTTGGCATTATGCTTATGTCAATGTATCAACTTATGTATTGTATAACAATACCTGTGTTCATGATTAATGCTTTTTATGCCAATGGGCAACACAAACGTGTGCAATTTAGCACTTGACAATATGGAAAATGCTCAATAACTGGTATTAACATGGATACAGTTAAATAACACATGATATTTATCATGAATTATGCAATACAACCCTTAAAAAGAGCTTCATTACAAACTTGAAAAGAAAACAAAACATGTAACATGAACACTGCTTATGAAACTGAGCAACATCAATTATGCAATACAAGTCTTTTCATTGTCAGCTAAACCAATCATTGTTTTGTGAATTAACATATACAAAGCATGGTGCAATGCTCAACAATATTTATCATGAATGAATCAGGCTAAACTGAAAAGAATATGACATGGTAATATGTAAAACACATATGTATGAATTCATATTATGCAGTATAATAGTAACACAGTCCCTGTTATGGCACCCTGAATAATACAAAATATCATGGTGTGACATGTAGCATTTACCATAATTATAAACATGACACAAATTATGTTATTGATCTTAGCACTTTTTCTGGTAAATTCCACAATGACCTTGACCTTTGACCTCAAAATCGATAAAGAACATCTACTAGCAATGACCAACTTCTATACACAATCTTAAGACTATATGCCAAAGCATTATGTAGTTTTTGGTTGGTCAAGCTTTTAATGGTCAAGGCCATGGTGACTTTGACCTACTGACCTTAAAATCTTTATACAGAGTTATCTGCTTGTCATGGCCAATGTCCATATCAACCTATCAAGTTCCACAACTAAGGTTTACTACCTTATTAAGTTGTCAGTCGGTTAAGGATAACAGATGAATGTATGTACTTGCATACAAAGGACCAAACCATCACCGTATAATTGTGAATAGTCGGAGTATATATACTGTTCTTTTATATAGCAACATTTAACTTCTAAAATGAAATACTGAGCATCATAAATAATACGAAATACTACATACTGGGAGCATAAAAATGGTTCTTTTACATTAATTAGTAACAAAATATTTGGTATTTTACCTCCTTAGAAAGGCAAACTTAAGCAACCTGTAAAATAATTCCATTTTCGTTGTAGATTCAATAAATAGCTTTCTCATCATTTCTATTCTCCTTTACAACTTGACAGGAAATTGATTGTTGATTTATACAGAATTTAATTTAGTTTGATTATGTAGAAAGCTTATAGACACATTCCCCAGTCCTTTCCTTGAATAAATCAGTACTGGGCAATGAGTGTAACGTTTCTTGCTCAAAAGAAACAACGGCTCACCCTTGACAGGGTACATTGATAACGATCCTCTAAGATTACTAGTCCCATGAGTTAACCCCTGGGCCATGCCATGACATGAGTGTAAGATTGTAACATGTAGATGTTATAAAAATTAAAAACTAAATAAGAGAAATAATTTGATTATTGATTGTCAATGTTTAATACTGAGTAGTACTTGGACTACATGTTTACATTATATTACTACCTACACCTTAGTAAATCTATCTTATTTTGCACTTACAAATCTTAGTTAAGCTAAAGATATGAAATGAAAATATATAACAGAATATTTTTATCACAAAAGCACTACCAAAAAATACTACTTGGGGTAAGATAATCTTCTACATATTTGACAAATAATCAGTAATTTCTGTTAAAAGTTAGTACCTTAAACAGTAGTTTAATTTTCACACATTACAGTATTTTTACACAATACACGTTTTTATTATTGCCATTAAGTATCAGACTGACACAGCCAATATATTCCTTTTAAGTGTTGGCAATAAATAACTAGGATTTTGAAGAAAAATATTAATAATAAACAGTATTGTTGCCGATTTGCTTATAGGCAATTACAATTAAATCAACACAGTCCATGAAACCATATAAAACATTCCCATTCTATAAAATTTAATCAATTATAACAATCATGGAATATCTTTAAGAGTCAAGAAAAAGATTCCCCATGAATGCATTCCACCACGATAAGATAATGCACTTCCCTGATATAAGATAGTGTATTCCTACAGTCTGATAGGTAAATAAAGCACTCCCATCATAATATAAGTAAAATGCATTCAACCAAAAGATTCAGATGAAGTAAAGCATTCCCTATAGAATAACACAACGCTACATTACATTTACTAATAAACTGGAAATTAAAGTGCAAAATTGCAGCACACAAAAGACTAATGTTGTGCAGATAATCAATATATAAATGTAGGTAACTGTCGTAAATAATGGATGACATGTTCTTGCATTAATTCATGATTTAATATGTGTCCATACATTCCACCTAGACTTATCAAATGACAGTGATCGCTTTTCATAGAAACGTAATGGATTTTTGTTGTCTAGCAACCAAAGATTTGAATATTTGTCTAGGCATTAGACATTTACAGAGAAGAGAAATTTTTTAAGATTTTATTTTAAAGCATACTTGCACCAAAGTACTTAAAAAGTCATTATTGAAAGGGTAATAAGTTTAGTCTTGGTTTTCTTGAAATAATGTGTTATGTTTAGTCTACTGAAATAAAAATAATGTGCAGGTCACATAAAACCCCAGATGCCTACCTATATAATATATACGTTCAAGTAAGGCCTTGTTCTTCAATACAGCAAACAACATATCACTACACAGGTAGGTAGCTTCATCACTGTAGGACAACGGATGACTTTTTACCCATTTCCAACAGTTAATGAAAGCCTTCATGACAAAACGATCCTTAACATCAATTCATCAATTACCTTTTTTTAATTGACGAAGTGAATTCTTAAAAAAAATCAATTCTATAGCTCTTTATAAATAAAAGCTTTTGAAATTTGCTTATTGGCATCTTTCCATTCATATCTATTTTTAACATTTAAGGGTAATTCCCGTTTTTATTTTTAACCTCAATTACAACGATAATGTCTTTTGACGTCATTTGTACAATGACCTCGGGGTCGTTTTCTCATGCCTGTGTTCAAATGGAAAGTGCCTCATGCTTTCTATTTCATGTGGCTTTAAAAATATGTGGCTTTAAAAATATTAACTTGATGCTTTCCTGCTATGTTAATTTTTTCAAAAATTTAGTTTCCATTTCTAATACCTTTAATATTAAGATTTCTAATATCTTTTCCATATATCACCTTAAGTGGGACCCAAGCTGACATTAACATAGCACAAACATGACTAGTGTACCAGCTTAATCACAATTTATAGAGCTGATTATATCTTTACAGTCACACTTAAATCTCATACATTGTTTGCTTTGAAACTGTATATTAAATTTACACGAGATTTTAACTTATGACAACCATAAAACATATAAAGCTTCTATAAACAGCTGATCTTTACTGTACTGTAGCACCAAGCAGAGATTTTAAACAACTATCAGAGATCTCTACAGATTGTGTCTGTACATGACAGCATTAAACCTTGTAGCAATTATTGGTACAGTTAAAGTCAATACAAATATCCTCTCAGCTAATGTGGTAAGACAATTTTCAATGGTTAATTTCAATTACTCAACATTTCTGCAGGGTGAAAATTGTTGAGAAATCATTAGTTAAGGCATGATATGAAAATAAAGTTTGTTTGTTGTCTGTCCAACTGCTTGGAGGAAAGTTTTTTATTTTATTCTGAAAAATGTCATCAATACAGTTCCAACCTATCCTTTCCTAGCATTATATTGAAATAATAAATAAAGACATAGATTTCTGAGACAGAAATTAACAACTCTATGCCAAACATATTTCAGTAAAGATAAAAAAAACAGCAAGAAACCATAATTTTAACATGGCCTTAAGAAGACTTACAGCCATAAAACCATTTAATGGTCTGTAATCCGAGACAAATGTCCTTTGAAATAACCATCGAAGTGTATAAACCTTTATAAAATGGAACACAAGTACTTGTATGTCTATATATGAAAACAAAATTTAATGAAATGAGCATAATGAAATTTGTGAAAATATAGCATGCATGAATTTGTCAAATTTATGAATAATTTAATAATGCCTCATGGCATTTTAATTCTAGAAAAATATATTCATTTCTCAGACATTTTCAGATGTTCAAATTAAATCAGTAAATGTTTCAACCTATGAAATGGTGAAACAATTTTTCTTTATCCATACAAATAACTACCAAATTTCTGTCTCCTCATACCACTTTAAGGAAGACATAATTTAAATAATTCAGAATATTTTCTTTTAAATCTTTGTTGATGAAAACCACTCAGTCAAAATGGGATGAAGAGTGTGCAAAATTTGTGAAAAAAAATTGAACCTGATACAAATTGGTCCTGAACTGTAAAACTAAAACATTATGATACATATATAATTATATAAAAAAATTTATAATATATACCTGAAATTTAGCCTTGTTAGAATTAGTAATGTTCTTGCTATGTTAGTGATATGCAATGATTATGTTAACTTATATCCTTTATTATTAGTATAACAATAGTATTAATGTATATATGACTCATTTAAATTTTTGTTTGTTTGTTTGTTTGTTTTTACGCCTTTTTCCAACAGTATTTCAGTCATATAGGCGGGTAGTTTCCTAACCATTGTTCCTGGAGAGTTACACCAGTACTAGACTACCTTCCTCCGCGCTAAACTACCAAAGCATCTCCCGGGGATCGAACCCACGCCAGAGAGGTAACTGGAGACTCATTTAAATACTGCATTAGTTAAAACAATAAACACTGAAAATGACAATAATTAACACAAGATGTAAAATAAGAGTGTGAAATTAGATATACACATAATGAGACCACAAATCAAGGAAATTACTTTATGCATGTATTCACCAATGAATGTAAAAATATCATGAATAATAATCAAAACAATGTGTCAAATTAATGCTTTGTAGACTAAAATAGACTTTTAAAAATAACTCTTACAATAAAATAAATAACTTTCAATTACATGTACATGTATATGAATAATTTTGAAATAACCAAAACTGTGCAGCCATTTTTGTCACTCTTGAAGAATTATTAATAATAATATGGAAGATTATATAACAACAAGATATGTTTGTAAAACATGTATGCCCCCTATCAGCAGCCAATTATTAATGTGATAAGGTTATTATGCATGACTTCTGACCCAGTGATCAAACAATTAATAAGGGTTATCAAGTATCTACTAGTCATGACCTTGACCTTTGACCCCTTGACCCAAAACTCAATAGGGGTCATCTGCTGGTCAAGACCAATCATCATACAAAGTTTGACGTTCCTAGGCCTAAGCGTTTTTAGTTAATTGATCAGAAACCGTTTTTACCTACAAGGTCAATGTGACCTTGACCTTTGACCCCTTGACCCCAAAATCAATAGGGGTCATTTGCTGGTCATGACTAATCACCATGCCAAGTTTGAAGTTCCTAGGCCTAAGGGTTCTTTTATTATTGATCCGAAACCGTTTTAACATACAAGGTCAATGTGACCTTGACCTTTGACCCCAAAATCAATAGGGGTCATCTGGTGGTCATGACCAATCACCATGCCAAGTTTGAAGTTCCTAGGCCGAAGCGTTCTTTAGTTATTGATCAGAAACCGTTTTTACTCACAAGGTCAATGTGACCTTGACCTTTGACCCCTTGATCCCAAATCAATAGGGGTAATCTGCTGGTCATGAAAAATCACCATACCAAGTTTGAAGTTCCTAGGCCTAAGCATTCTTAAGTTATTGATCAGAAACCATTTTACTTACAAGGTCAATGTGACCTTGACCTTTGACCCTTGACCCAAAACTCAATAGGGGTCATCTGCTGGTCACCACCAATCATCATACAAAGTTTGAAGTTCCTAGGCCTAAGCGTTTTTAGTTAATTGATCGGAAACCGTTTTTACTTACAAGGTCAATGTTACCTTGACCTTTGACCCCTTGACCCCAAAATCAATAGGTCCTCTGCTGGTCATGACCAAACACCATACCAAGTTTGAAGTTCCTAGGCCTAAGGGTTCTTAAGTTATTGATCGGAAAGCATTTTTACCTACAAGGTCAATGTGACCTTGCCCTTTGACCCCTTAACCCCAAAATCAATAGGGGTCATCTGCTGGTTATGACCAATCACCATACCAAGTTTGAAGTTCCTAGGCCTAAGGGTTCTTTAGTTATTGATCGGAAACTGTTTTTACCTAAGAGGTCAATGTGACCTTGACCTTTGACCCCTTGACCCCAAAATCAATAGGGGTCATCTACTGATCATGACCAATCACCATACCAAGTTTGAAGTTCCTAGGCCTTAAGGTTCTTTAGTTATTGATCGGAAACCGTTTTTGCTTACAAGGTCAATGTGACCTTGACCTTTGACCCCTTGACCCCAAAATCAATAGGGGTCATCTACTGATCATGACCAATCACCATACCAAGTTTGAAGTTCCTAGGCCTAAGGGTTCTTTAGTTATTGATCGGAAACCGTTTTTGCTTACAAGGTCAATGTGACCTTGACCTTTGACCCCTTGACCCCAAAATCAATAGGGGTCATCTACTTGTCATGACCAATCACCATACCAAGTTTGAAGTTCCTAGGCCTAAGGGTTCTTTAGTTATCACTCGGAAACCATTTGGTCTACGGACCGACGGACCGACAGACCGACGGACCGACAAGTGCAAAGCAATATACCCCCTTTTCTTCGAAATGGGGGCATAAAAATAATATAAACAAGAGGGCCATGATGGCCCTGAGATCGCTCACCTGTATATAGGCCCCAGGAGCGGGGCCAGTTTTAACCCCAGAGCTTTTATTTGAACAAACTTGGAAGACACTCATTAGAAGATGTTTCACAATGTTAAGTTTTTACTACACACATGTAATGAAAAACAATGATCTTACCCTCCTCCCCCCCTCCCCCCTAGCCCCGGCAGGGCCAATTTTCAACGAAGGGCTTTTATTTGAACAAACTTGGTAGACATCCATAAGAAGATATTTCATGCTAAACATCTAAGCTCTAGCTCATTGGGTTTTTTTAAAAGAAGATTTTTAAGTTTTTGCTATACACATATAAAGAAAATCAATGACACCCCTGGGGCGGGGCCAGTTTTGACCCCAGGGCTTTTATTTGAACAAACTTTGTAGACACTTACTTGAAGATGTTTCATGCTTAATATCTAAACTCTAGCTATTTGGGTTTATTCAAAGAAAATTATCTAAGTTTTTACTATATGCATATAGGGAAAATCAATGACCCCCCTGGTTGGGGCCAATTTTGACCCCGGGGCTATTATTTGAACAAACTTTGTAGACACTCACTAGAAACAAACTTTGTAGACACTCACTAGAAGATGTTTCATGCTTAATATCTAAACTCTAGCTATTTGGGCTTTTTCAAAGAAGATTATTTAAGTTTTTGCTATACACATATAAGGAAAATCAATGACCCCCTGGGGCGGGGCCAATTTTGACCCCAGGGCTTTTATTTGAACAAACTTGGTAGACATCCATTAGAAAATGTTTCATGCTGAATATCTTAGCTCTAGCTCTTTGAGTTCTTTAAAAGAAGATTTTTTACGTTTTTACTATATGCATATAGGGAAAATCAATGACCCCCTGGGGCGGGGCCAATTTTGACCCCAGGGCTTTTATTTGAACAAACTTGGTAGACACTCATTAGAAGATGTTTCATGCTGAATATCTTAGCTCTAGCTCTTTGGGTTCTTTAAAAGAAGATTTTTTAAGTTTTTACTATATGCATATAGGGAAAATCAATGACCCCCTGGGGCGGGGCCAATTTTGACCCCAGGGCTTTTATTTGAACAAACTTGGTAGACACTCATTAGAAGATGTTTCAAGCTGAATATCTTAGCTTTAACTCTTTGGGTTTTTTATAAGAAGATTTTTTAAGTTTTTACTATATGCATATATGGAAAATCAATGACCCCCTTGGGCGGGGCAAATTTTGACCCAAGGGATTTTATTTGAACAAACTTGGTAGACACTCACTAGAAGATGTTTCATGCCAAATATCTAAGCTCTAGCTCTTAGGGTTTTTTAAAAGAAGATATTTAAAGTTTTTTCTTTCGGTTGCCATGGCAACCAGAGTTCTGCATGGAATTAAATTCTTTGAACCATTTTTAAAGGTGACCACCATAGGAACATTCCTGTGAAGTTTGGATGAAATTGGCTTAGTGGTTTATGAGGAGATGTCATTTAAAGTAAAAGTTTACGGACGCCGGACGGACGGACGGCCGGACGCCGGACGAAAAGCGATCACAAAGCTCACCCTGTCACTTTGTGACAGGTGAGCTAAAAATATATCAAAATAATTTCTAAAAAAGAAAATCATTTAATTTAAGATGTACCATCCTTAAAGACATTGTAATGTGAGTTAAAAGTTGTGAACAAAAAGTCTTGGTATACTTGCACATAACTATCAGGAAAGTTTAAATTTAAATAAATAAAAATGCTTGTGCAGACTTAAACACCTGTTTCAATAATTTCCTTTCTTAATTTGTGTTAAGGGCACATTTCTGACTTTGACTAGCTAACTATGCATTTTTAATTTAAGGTGTATTAAATATCAATATACTATAGTTGAGCAGGTAATCTATAATATACTAATCTTATAACATGGTGATGCACGTTAGTCTGACTTTAAAAATGACATGGACAAGTTATTAAAATGTGAAAAACAAGATCAACAATGAAGGGTTATTAATACCTTCAAGCTGTCAATCTCATATGCACAAAAATACTGATATTCTGGGACTAATAAATAATTTGAGCAGCGCCACGACAAAACCAACATAATGGGTTTGCGACCAACATGGATCCAGACCAGCCTGCGAATCCACGCAGTCTGATCAGGATCCATGCTGTTCGCTATCAGTTTCTCTACTAGTACTTGTTACAGGGTATGTAAGCGAACAGCATGGATCCTGATCAGACTGCGCTGATGCGCAGGCTGGTCTGGATCCATGCTGGTTGCAAACCCATTATGTTGGTTTTGTCATGACGTGGCTCATTTTATTATGCATTGTAAAGCATTTAAATCAACAAATTTATATTGAGCTTTATTATATACAGTGCACCTAAAAATGTCCTCCCTAAAATACATGCATGTCCTGCAGTGCGAATATGATTCAATGGATAAAAAAAATGTGTATGAATGTTAGTGACAAATATGGTACATAATATGGAAGTGCTGGACTATTTTTCTTTGTTGGTTCCCATACAGGCCTTGTGCTATGTAGTATTTGGAAATGGGAATCGATACTAGGAGGATGTCTTATTTGCAAAGTTGAATTTTAGTTCTTGGCAGATATATCTCTATTTGTGAAATAACTAATAAAAATTCAGGAAATTGAATCTCTTTTCATCTTGATATTTATAGGTATATGATAAAAGGAAAATAATGTTGTACTAGCTTTCAAATTTCATACATTTTATTCCTTGCAGCATGGGAAAATCAATATTTTGCAAGGATTGGTATATATTTGCCATTATTAAAGATTTAGATTTTTTTAACATAGGCTTTAAACTATACATATGCTTTAGATTATAATTGTGCACTTAAGAACATTTCCAAAAATTTATTTATGGGTACAGAGATAATCACCAAATAACATTATGAAAAATTTCATCTTCTAGTCATAAATCAACTGAAGTTACATGTTTAAGATATACAATGGTAAAATGCTTGTGAAACAAACAAATCATTTACATAATTATAATACTTATAATAACACATAAACATAGCTTACAATCACTGTAAGCTTTAATATATCACAAATAAAAAATACACACAACAATTGGTAGATACCCTTATTCCTACACTATGCTGAAATATTACATGTGTATTAAATGGTTTTTCAGACATCGGCTTCTAGATGATACATGTCCCGAGAGTCTACACTATCACAGAAAATTTCACCGTCAATGTCTAAAATATCATCACATTGTCTGGAAATGAGTGGAACCATAACAACATCTTGGCTGCCACTTTCACACGCTCTATCACAGTCAGTATTGACATTACTTAAACTTTCCTCAAAAGGAATTGTCTCAATATCGTCATTGGATATACTGGTTTGAAGTCCAGCGTTTAATAATTTCTCTTCTATGGAATGGTTTTGAACACTGTCACTTCGTTTTGATGTAGTAGGCTGAGGCTCGTACCTCGAAGATTGTCTCGCTTGAAATGATGATGTATAATCTGACTGGCTGACACTGGAATCAAACTGTGAACCTGATCGTATATCACTTTCCGCATTGCCCGTTGATGTAGTATACCCTGAATGTAGTTTTCTTCTTACCTCCATCTGTAAAATGGTTAATGTTTGAGATAAATAAACATAACAAAATCAAGACCAGCCTGCGCATCCACGCAAACTGATCAGGATCCATGCTGTTCGCTATCAGTTTCTCTAATTGTAATAGAGTTGGTAAGCGAATAGCATGGATCCTGATCAGACTGCACGGATGCGCAGGCTGGTCTGGATCCATGCTGGTCGCAAACCCACTATGTTGGTTTTGTCATGACACGGCTCAAATGTCCTTTTATAAGTTCGTGAATATAGCACAGTTTTGTTGTTAGAAGGGTAGACATTTCAACATAATACAAGTAACTGACAGAGTGGATGTGATCTTAATCTGAAAATAAATCATGCAACTTATGGCTTGGAAAATCTTAGCACAATCTTTTATTAAGTTCACTATCATTCCACTAGTTCTAGAAACAGGACATAAGAACTTTCATTAAATTTATTTCTGAGGTAGAACTGTTACAGCCAGGGACAAGCTATCAAAAATTACACCCTGGAAGCAAAAGTCACTCTTTTTCAAGCTAACATAGACACATGAAGATCCCAAATACAAGCAGAACTGGAGATTTAATTCTAACCCCAAAACAATCCATATTCAATCTTGATTTAGGCTTGATACTAGAAATGTGTCCATAGGACACGGATGCCCCCACACGCCACTGTTCTGTCAATCTTATGACTCTAGGTCAAATATTTTTTGGACTACATGTGCCGCAAGTTGAAAACTAAAAATCAACAAAGGGCCATTATTCTGTTAAATTTAGTCGCAGCAAAAATTCATTCCTTTACTACCATCTACACATTAACGTTGTTAATCCCTGGAAGTTTAAGCAAAATCTGCCATCCGGTTTAAGAGGAGTTGCGTTCACAAAATTTCTACATAGAATATAATGAAAAAATCAACAAAGGGCCATAATTCTGTTAAATTTGGTTGAAGCAAAAATTCCTTCCTTTACTGCCATCTACACATTAAGGTTGTTCATCCCTGGAAGTTTAAGCAAAATCTGCCATCCGGTTTAAGAGGAGTTGCATTCACAAAATTTCTACATAGTACATAGTGAAAAAATCAACAAAGGGCCATAATTCTGTAAAATTTGGTCGCAGCGAAAATTCCTTCCTTTACTACCATCTACACATTAAGGTTGTTCATCCCTGTAAGTTTAAGCAAAATCTGCCATCCGGTTTAAGAGGAGTTGCGTTCACAAAATTTCTACATAGTATATAGTGAAAAAATCAACAAAGGGCCATAATTCTGTTAAATTTGGTCGCAGCAAAAATTCCTTCCTTTACTACCATCTACACATTAAGGTTGTTCATCCCTGTAAGTTTAAGCAAAATCTGCCATCCGGTTTAAGAGGAGTTGCGTTCACAAAATTTCTTACATAGTATCTAGTGAAAAAATCAACAAAGGGCCATAATTCTGTTCAATTTGGTCGCAGCAAAAATTCCTTCCTTTACTACCATCTACACATTAAGGTTGTTCATCCCTGTAAGTTTAAGCAAAATCTGCCATCCGGTTTAAGAGGAGTTGCGTTCACAAGATTTCGGGACGTACGGACGGACGGACTGACGGACGGATGGACTGACTGACGGACGGACGGACAAGTGCAACGCTATATGCTCCCACATTGTGGGGGCATAATAAAAACAACTAGAACTATCACTTAATGTGATTAATACCCCCGCAAGACTGCTTCGGAAATGAGGATGTTACTAGTAACAGAATACCTTCCCAAACCAAAATCGCAAGCTAACATTGCAAGCTTGTCACAAGCTTGCTGCAAGCTTAAGTTGCAAGCTTGCTACTGGCTAGTAATTGGAACCTTGCGGCAAGCTTGCGATCAGTTATTTAAAAAAAATCTGACTGCAAACTAGTTAATATTTAAGCTTGCGCAAGCTTAATCGCAAGCTTAATCGCAAGCTTGCGCAAGCTTAATCGCAAGCTTGCGCAAGCTTAATCATAAGCTTGCGCAAGCTTATTTGCAAGCTTGCGCAGGTTTATCTGCAAGCCTGCACAGGCTAAGTCGCAAGCTTGTGCATGTATAACTACAAGCTTAATGTATAAGCTTGCGCAAGCTTAATGTATAAGCTTGCGCAAGCTTAATCGCAGGCTTGCAAAAACTGTAAACCCTATTTGGAAAGGGAGCTGCTAAGTATAACAGTCTCTGAATCCTATATAACATGCATAAAAAAGGCATTAATTACCATGATAAACTTATTTAATCATAAATTGTAAAAAGAAGCTGATGTTAAATTTTTCATATACTAATGTTTTCTTCCAATTACCATGGTAAATAGTCCAGCCTTGATGGAATGACATTGAAAAAATCCAGCCTAATTTCCAGCATCCCTGAATGTTCTTAAAATGTAAAATTCTGGGATGGAATTCAGCACAGGAATGTTTGGGGTAGAATTTTCATGAGTTTAACATGATCACAGTCATATTTCTTTCACAAAATTTAATACATATCCTTTAGTCCAAATACAGAATAGAACAGCCTACATTCACTATAACACAAACAGTTTTTTTCTAGCTGCAGGTTTTTGGTAGGTTCTGGTTGTTTCTTAGAATCCAACACTTTTTTTTAAGCAATTATTTTGCCTCTTTAGTCTGTCAGTGGACAAACTATTCAATCTTAAATTTGTTTTAAATGTTCTGATTATTTAAATTACTATTTTCTTTTATCGGTGTCCATGTTTTAGTCTCTGCCAGTTTTTCCTAGAACTTCTTATGGTTGTGCTGACCTTTAAAGATAAAATTCATAATTAATTAGATAACAGATGCCAGTAATGAACTATGTTTTATTGCATAAATGCAGTTATATTACATATCTTTTAATAACATCGAATCTAATTTTTCAACAGTATTAACTATTAAATATTAACTATGCTTATGCATTCTTTCAAAAAATACTAAAGGCAATGCAGTATATCTTATTTCAATGTGCACAAATGTTTAAGAATTTCTCTTTATGAGAATTAAGTAAATTTTGTGACAATATTTATTACCCAGTATGTATTTTTTCAAGAAAAAGATGTGGAATAGAAAAGTATTGAGATTTAATAATATATACCTTTTCAGGATTAATACTGCACATCATTATTAAAACACTGCCGCTATTTCTCACAGTCAGCACTTTATGTCCCAGCCTGCAAATTATTTTTATGTATAATGTAATTTTAGATTGTTCCATTGAAAACACAAACACATACATGTAAAATAACAAATGATTATGATTGACCCTGTTCAGCTGTACAACTTAACTACTGATTGTACCATTTAGTCCTATTTAATCAAATTGATTTAATTTGTTTAATTTGCAGGAAATGAAAAAGATCTACTAACATGCCATTTAAAAACAATATAAACAATCATTAAAAAGAAAATCATTGAATAATTTATATTTTACAGATTGTATAGATTTAAAAGAATTATCAGAAAAAACAAATGCGCATGAAGTTGAAAATATAAAAAAAACACCTTGATCTCTTGTTACAAATGTTAAATAATTTTATATATAACCTGTTTCTGCATTAATGTAACTTAAGGTTTTATAAATACCTGATTCTGTTGTATATATCTCCTTGTCCCAGGTGATTCTGATTGTTATCATACCAATACTTAAACACTTTAAATGTTAAACAAAACAATATCTCCAAAAAACTGCTAAAATATCAAGTACATCCTCTGCTCCCTTTGCTGACCCAGATATCTTAGAATTCAAAAAATTTTTACAACAGTTACTGTAAAACTGGACAGGTCTATCATTATGTAAAGCAGGGTTAATCTACTCATCATTTTTAACTTTCATTCTTTGAGCGTTAAAAGAAAATATCAAATAGCTAATAGATATATAGATTTTAAAAATCATTACAAATTTTTGTACAAAAGATTGCAATGTGTCCTTCTAGACACATTCTGCATATGAAATTTATAATGTTATCTCTCCCCAAAAAATAATCACCATGGAACAGCCTGATCTGTCGGAATGACCAGGGAGTAAATTAGTCATGCACAGATGGTCAATGAATTTTATCAAGGCTCTGATGTGTGTAGCGTAAAATCTCAGTGGATGTAGTATTTATTTTCCTAAATAAAAGCAATATATATTGATTAATTTAAATATAGAATATATATATGAGATTATTTCATTGCACTGTTTTTGTTTTGTTTATTTATTTATTTATTGTTATCCAAAAAAACATGAATTCTTAGAATTTAAAAATGGCAAGCAATGCAATCCCATCTTGATTATTATAGTGTCTGAATGATTGAATCACAGACTTTAATTAATTTATTAGTTAAACTAAAGCCTGTAATTAAATGGATATTATTTCATTGTACATAACTTCATGTAGATTTATTGAAATAATAATATGTATTTAACAATCAATTCATTTACTTCTTTTTGCACAGACATTTTTTCTGAGATACCCTTTTCCAACTACATGAAATGTATAAAGTGTTTAAAATTTCAAATCATTTACAGTAACTTGCATTAAAATAGATGATGATTTTATATTTTCTTCGTAAATTTACAATACTGAGCTGAAATATATAAATATAACTAATAACTAATAATAAAAACTTTAGCGTGGTAATCTAGTTTAAACTAGTTAATTATCACTGATACTATCATTTTTGGAATTTTTTTTTTAATGTGTACACTTTTGACAAAAAAATTTTCTAAGTGTTTCAATTACTTTAACAAGAAATTTTCTAAGTGTAGATTTGTTACAAAACTTTTCTAAGTGTCTACTAATTGCAAGCTTGGGGCATTGCAAGCTTACATCAAATGTTTGCAAGCTTGCATGAATTTTTTAAACAAGCTTGCAATATATTTCAAAAAGTCATCGCAAGCTTGCGCAAGCTTGTTGCAAGCATGCAGCAACCTGTGTATTTAAGCTGTAAGCGTTTGCGGCAAGCTTGTGACAAGCTTGCGGCAAGCTTGTCGCAGGCATGCATTTTGGTTTGGGTTGTAAAGAATTAAAAACAGAGTTATGGTTGTGGGCAATTAAAAAAGATAGTTTGTGGTTTCTTGTATGTTGCATTTCCCTTTCAATGTGGTTGGCCATTTGATGAAGTTTTATTGGATTACCTCTGTAAGAAGTCCAGAAAGACAAGAAAAGGAAACAAAGGGCAATAACTCTATAAATACTGGAAAGAATTGAGTTATGGCTAATTGTACACTGCACTTCCTTTCATTGCGCTTGACCATTGTATGAATTTGTATTGAATTCCAACTACTAGTTTTTCAAGTTAAGCACTGGACAAAAAAAGAAACAAAAGCCAAATAACTGATAATTAGTCCAAATAGAGTTATTGTTCTTGTTGCACTGCCCTTCATCTCACTTGCCCTTGACCCATTGTATAAAGTTTCATTGAATTCCAACCATTAATTTTTCAAGTTATGCACTGGACAATAAAAAAGTAACAAAGGGCAAAAAAAACTTTTAAATTAGTTAAAAAAAGAGTTAATACTTTTTCTGTGCACTGCACTTCCTCCTCAATATACCTTGACCATAGTATGGGAAAGTAGTTTTGAATTCAGGAACTAGTATGAGTTTTCAATTTTATGCTTCTGGACAAGAAAAAGCAATGGCTCAAAAAGTAACCACAGAAAGGGCAAATTACTCTTATAATTTACTCTGAACAGAGGGTTATAGTTCTTTGTGCTTGACCTTGTTATGAAGTCGTATTTTGAATTCCAAAACCAGTAGTTTTTCAAGTTATGCTTCCAGGCAAGGAAAAGTAACAGAGGGCCAGTAACTCTGTAATTTAGTCAAAAAATGGAGTTATGGTTCTTGTGCCACTGCACTTCCTCTTATTGTGCTTGGGACCATTGTATAGTTTGTTTTAATTTCCAACCAGTATATTTAAGTTATGCTCCAACAAGCGAAAAGTTTATCAAAGGGCAATAACTCTGTAATTTGGTCAAAATGGAGTTATAATTTTGTGCACTGCATTTCCTCTTAATGTGCTCGACAACTGCATGAGATTGTATTGAATTCATCCGGTATTTTTAAAGTTTATGCTCCAGACAAGGAAAAGTAACAAAGGGCAATAACTCTGTCATTAGTCAAGATGTGGAGTTATGTTCTAATCATGGCACTGCACTTCCTCTCAATTGCTTGACCATTGTATGAAGTTATATTGAATTCCAACAAGTAGTCTTCAAGTTATGCTCCAGACAAAAAAAAAGCAATCGAAAAGTAACAAAGGGAATAAACTCTGTAATTTAGTCAAAATGGAGTTATGGCTTCTTGTGGCATGGCACTTCCCCTTATTGTGCTTAGCCATTGTATGAAAGTTGTTTTGAAATCCAACCAGTTAGTTTTCAAGTTATGCTCCGGACAAGGAAAAGTAACAAAAGGGCAGTAACTCTGTAATTAGTCAAAATGGAGTTATGGTTCTTGTGCACTGCACTTCCTCTCAATGTGCTTGACCATTGTATGAAAGTTATATTTGGAATTCCAACTATTAGTCTTCAAGTTTGAGTCCGGACAAAAGAAAGCATGGAAAAATAACAAGGGCAATAACTCTGTAATTACTTTAGATAGAGTTTATGGGTTCTTGTGCACTGCACTTCCCCTTATTGTGCTTGACAATTGTATTGAAGTTGTTTCGAGTTTCAACCAGTAGTTTTCAAGTTATGCTCCGGACAAGGAAAAGTAACAAAGGGCAGTTACTCTGTAATTAGTCAAGATGGAGTTATGGTTCTTGTAACACTTGCACTTCCTCTCAATGTGCTTGACCATTGTATGAAGTTTATATTGAATTCCAACTATTAGTCTTCAAGTAATAGTCCGGACAAAAGAAAGCAATGGAAAAATAAAACAAAGGGCAATAACTCTGTAATTACTTTAGATAGAGTTTTATGGTCTTGTGCACTTGCACTTCCCCTTTTTGTGCTTGACAATTGTATGAAGTTGTTTCGAGTTTCAACCAGTAGTTTTCAAGTTATGCTCGGACAAGGAAAAGTAACAAAAGGGCAATAACTCTGTTATTAGTCAAGATGGAGTTATGGTTCTTGTGCACTGCACTTCCTCTTAATGTGCTTGACCATTGTATGAAGTTATACTGAATTCCAACCATTAGTCTTCAAGTTATGCTCCGGACAAGGAAAATGCAACGGACTGCTGGACCGACCGACCGACCGACCAACCGACCGACCGACCACCGGGTGACTCCTATATACCCCCCCAAACTTTGTTTTTGGGGGTATAAAAACATTCAGTGAATCTGAGCAAATTTATCAAGACTTTCATCAAAACTGTAAAACAAAAATAACAGAGGATATTAAAACATCTAAACATTCTTACAGTAACAGCTCACCCTTGAATGATACAAAACTGTGTTTAACCAAAAAAATATTGTATAACAAGAACTGTCGGAGGACAGTAACGCTCGACTATTCGAAAATTTGTCACAAGGGTGTTTCATTGAGTATAATAATGGTTACCTATATGAATACATAAAATTGTCCGAAAAGGTACAAACATTTCAAGTTTCAATACATTCCCTTCAGTAGCTATGGAGATACTAATTAACTTACACACTAAAACTTAACCAAGCATTTATGAATCGAAAAAGGGGCATAATTATGCAAAAAAGTAAATCACAGTTATGGGACTTGTGCCATTCATCTTAGATAATCACAGAGAACAAGTGTGTGAAGTTTCAATCCATTCCCTTCAGTAGTTATGGAGATACCAGCTTACATACAAAAACTTAACCAAGAATTTCTAAGTCAAAAAAGGGGCATAATTATGAAAAACAGCAAATCAGAGTTATGGGACTTGTGCCAATCATCTTAGATAATCACAGAGAACAAGTGTTTGAAGTTTCAATCCATTCCCTTCAGTAGTTATGGAGATACCAGCTTACATACAAAAAACTTAACCAAGAATTTCTAAGTCGAAAAAGGGGCATAATTATAAAAAAAAAGAAAATCAGAGTTATGGGACTTGTGCCAATCATTCTAAGATAATCACAGAGAACAGGTGTGTGAAGTTTTCAATCCATTCCCTTTCAGTAGTTATGGAGATACCAGCTTACATACAAAAAACTTAACCAAGAATTTCTAAGTCAAAAAAAAGGGGCATAATTATGAAAAAAAGCAAATCAGAGTTATGGGACTTGTGCCAATCATCTTAGATAATCACAGAGAACAAGTGTTGTGAAGTTTCAATCCATTTCCCTTCGGTAGGTTATGGAGATAACCAGCTTACATACAAAAACTTAACAAGAATTTCTAAGTCGAAAAAAGGGGCATAATATTAGAAAAAAAGCAAATCAGAGTTATGGGACTTGTGCCAATCATCTTAGATAATCACAGAGAACAAGTGTGTGAAGTTTCAATCCATTCCCTTCAGTAGTTATGGAGATACCAGCTTACATACAAAAACTTAACCACAGGGACGCCGACGCCGACAAATGGGTGACTGCATTAGCTCGATTATTCTGCGAATAGTCAAGCTAAAAACCTATAAAAGTGGCATTTATTACCTTTTTCTTTTTGCCTTTTTTATACTGACAATACTCTCCCATACAGACTACAAACATTATGGTGAGGTAGAAAGCAAAAGTTGTGCTGATTGTTATAACTGCAATCTGGCCCGGTGTCAGTAAACTTTTGCCATCTGTAATAGAAAATAATTTTTTCAATTCCTAAATCTAAAATTGAACAAAAGTGTTTTTTAAATAATCACATATACATTACAGAAGGTTACGCCCTGAAATCATGACTTTCAATTCTTTATGTTAAATGAATGGTTTTACTGAAAAACCCTACAATGACAATAAGGAAGAAAACAAGAGCACTGCATTTGGTGGGGCAAAGAGCTTATTAAATTAAAGGGCGGCAACAATTAAAATATATCAAATTCAAAAAGTGTTACCTATGCCTGTAACTGTTGCACTTCACCTCCATAATAAGATTAAAATTTCTTTGTAAATTGAGAATGGTTAAGAATACTGGTATTTGAACATTAAGTTCAAATTATTTTCCCGTGTGAAAAAAGGGGTATTTATCCCTCAGAAAAAAAGTGTCGAACTTGGGATACTTAGTCTCTTTTCCTACTGAAATGTACCTCGGTCCCTTTCCCCCAAATTTTAAAGCATTCCAAATATGACGTACAATACCTTTCAGTTTTTGGATAATTTTCAAAAACATTTTCTGTCCAATAACAAATTTTAACGGAAGACTAAAAAGGGCAAACCTCCAAAACAATGGTTGGGCGTTTCAGGAATAAGGTCTCATTTACTGTGCCTAAATAGTAATGTCATGGTTATCAAGTGTTTCACATTTCATGTTGATATTCTGAAGTGTTCGTGTACATGTAATTGCCTATAAGTTTTTGCATAATGACATCAACAACAATGAAATCCAGTGATCATAACAGCTTGACTTTTTAATTAAAAACAGAGGAGCTGAAAAATAACATTCTTGTCTTATTGAATCATAACATTTTGCCCGACTGAAAATTTTGGGAAAAAACGCAACTAACAAGTATATACAACATGAAAATGTAATTTTATAAAGCAAATAAAAAGGGAATTACTAAAAGCACCAAAATTTATAAAACTCAAAAATTCAAAGTGGGTTCATATCCAAAAATTTTTGGGTTTCCCTTTAATTTCCCCATTGATTAACAATTTAAGAAACCCAACAAGCAGTCCCATTGGTGGCCATCTTTTATTAAGCGCTGATATTTTGGTCTCCAAAGAGAGATGTGTAAAAACAAAAAAAATGGGGAAAACAGAAAAAGAATAAAAGGGGTTTAAAAAAAAATGTAAGAATTTTAAAAAATTTATCAAAATTATAAAAAACACCTCAATCCCGACAAAACTCAATGTTTGTGAGTCTTTAAAATGTTCCAATTTTCTTTTAAGGAATTATTTATTTTTTTTAGAAAATCTCAGCCAACTCAAATAATCTGCAAAAGTCAATTCAAATAATCTGGAAAAAGTGCATGTATGATGTATATGTACTTGTCTACAGCTCAGTGAAAATTTCTTTAAAAACATTGCTCTATGTACATGTATAGAGCCTCCAAGAAGTTTTCTATTTTTTGCTGATCAAAGGCTTTTAAAGCACAAGTCAATTAAAAATAATAACTATCAGTAGATACAATAAAGTTTCTAATTTCATACAATGTACATCCAATACGCTGACAAAATTATAATATCTTTACATTAAAATAAACCCCACTGCTTCTAGCTTGTCATAAAAGTTTCCTGTTTCTCAATATTAATATTGTAATACATTCATGACCAATTCTCTGTAAAGAGCACACTTCACAACACTTCTTGAAAAAAGATTTGTAATTAAGTGGTTCTGTGAAAATCCTAAAAGAGACCACTATAAGAATATAACGAAGACAATGCATTTTTTTTATACACTTGTATACATGTACATAAAATGTTTTTTGTTGAGAACTAATTAATATGACTTAAAGATTCATCTTATTTCTTAAGGACTTAAGAATCTGACACAAAGACATGACAAGAGCTGTCCGTGTTCAGACACATGTTCAACTAACATAAGGACTTATAGATATGTAAAATCTGAGTATATAAAAGTGACATAACATTGTCAAGAAAGAACAAATCCATGACAGAGTTTATGATATACTCTTGCCAATTATAATGACGTAGCTCAGCTTATTGAAGTTATAACTTTGAGAGCGGTACCCCTTTGAGAGATATGACACAGATGTGGAAGTGATTTTCTGAGGAGAGGTGGGGTGGGTGGTCATGAACTTTACTTTTATTATGTATGTATTTATTTATATTGTTAAGATAACAAATAAATCCTATTAAAATGACTCCAATTAATCATTTATTAAAAATAATCAGTCAGCCATTTATTATTCACTGATACAGGGCTTCCATTAAGTTTCAAAATTTGGAAGCCAGAGACTACAAAATCTCTGATATTGGGTGTCATATTATATAGGTAAAGAAGGAAACATATTAGATTTTGGAAGACACAAGCCAAAATTAAGGAGTAAAAAATCAAAATTAAATAAAGGAAAAAACCAAAATTTTTGTATTAAAGAGGGTCCAAAATTTTTTGGATAAAACTTTGGGCTTATTTTTCCCGATCTGTCATCCAAAATTTAAAGGAAAAATGGCCCAAAATTTAAGCAAATTTTTAAAATCTATCCAAATTTCCCTCTCCCCCCCTAAAAAAATACACCCTTTGCCAAAAGGATAAAATTTTTGGGGAAAACTTGGGGAAATTAAGGGGGAAAATTAAAAATTAAAAAAAAAGAAATTAAAAAAACGTTTTGGGAATACATACATTACAACATTGGGAAATTTATTTTACCTTTATCTAGAAAAATTTTAAAAAAGGGATCAGCTGGGTTTTTTTACAAAACATTTTTTATTTGGGGCCCGAGGGGCACTCTCCTGAGTGTTTTTTTATTAGAAAAAACTGGGGATTTGGGGTTTTTGATAATTTTTTTGGAAACAACAAAAGCCAATTTATTAACAAAAATTAAATTTTCATAATTACTATTAAAAATTTGGAAAATTTTTAAATATTGTGAATATTAAAAAGGGATAAAGACTCCCGTTTATTGGGGGCAAAATTTTTTGAAAAATTTTTGCAAAAAGATAAAGTTTTTTTAAAAAAATGTTATGCCCCCCATCAGCCCAATTTGTCATGGGGATAAGGGTTTAAATTTTCATGACTTCTGAACCCATTATCAAAAAAATTTAAAAAGGGGATTTAAAAAATCTACTGGTCATACCTTTTTCCTTTGACCCCCTTTACCCCCAAAAATCAAAAGGGGTTTATCTTTGTCACAAACCTTTAAACATAAAAGGTTAAATTCCCACCTAACGTTTTTAGTTAATTGGGTTTAAAACCCTTTTCCTACAAGGGCAATTGACCTTTTACCTTTTAACCCCTTTAACCCCCAAAAAAATAAGGGCATTTGCCGGGCATACCAATCAAAATCCCAAATTTTAAGTTTCTAGGTTTTAAGGGGTTTTTTTATTATTGATCGGAAAAAACCTTTTTTAAAATACAAGGTTTATGTGACCTTGGGCCTTTTTTAAAACCCCTTTAAAACCCCAAAAATTTAACAGGGGGGATTTGCTTTAAGACCAAGCATCAAAAAAAGTTTGAAGTTCCCAAGGCCCCACGTTTTTGTTAATTGGTCGGGAAACCCTTTTACCTACAAGGTAATTTGACCCTTTACCTTTACCCCCTTTACCCCAAAAAACAATAGTCATCTGCTGGGGCATGACCATCACCATACAATTTTAATTCCTAGGGCCCAAAAGGGTTTTAAAATTTTTTTATCGGAAAGGATTTTTTCCTAAAAAGGTTTAAATTTTGGGCCTTGCCCTTTTACCCTTAACCCCCAAAACAATATGGGGCACTGCTGGTCTGACCAATCACCCAAACCCCTTTGAAGTTCCCAGGCCTAAAAGGGGTTTTTTAGTTTTTTGAAACGGAAACCGTTTTTTTCCTAAATGGTCAATGTGACCTTTCCTTTGACCCCTTTACCCCAAAATCAAAAGGGGTTTTTTCTATTTAGTCCCAAAACTTATATCAAGTTTTTAATCCCCTTTCTAAAGGGTTCCTTTTTGGGTTTTTGATTGGGAAAACCCTTTTTTCCTTTTAATTACAATGTGACCTTACCCTTTTACCCCTTTCCCAAAATTTATATTGGGCATTTTGAATTTTTCATAACCAACACCATACCAAGTTTCAAGTTCCTAGGCCTTTTGGGGTTTTTTTTTGTTTTATGGAAAAATTTTTTCCTAAATCAATGTGACCTTTCCTTTGACCCCTTTTACCCCCCCAAATCAAAAAGGGGATTACTTTTTCTAACCCTCCCAAACCAAGTTTGAAAATTTTTCCCAGGCCCTTTAAGGTTTTTTTTTTTGATCGGAAAATGTTTTTTTCTTAAAAAGGGCAAAGTGACCTTACTTTGACCCCTTTTACCCCAAAAATTCAATTAGGGGGGCATAACTGATTTAAAGACCCAAACACCAACCCAATTGAAATTCCACCTTTAAGGGTTTTTGAGTTATTGATCGAAACTGTTTTTTTCTTTTAAGGGAAAGGGGACCCCTTCCTTTGGCCCTTTTTTCCCAAAAAAATAAGGGGCATCTTTCTTATCAAGACCAAACAAACCCTACCCCAATTTAAGTTTCCCGGCCTTTAAGGTTTTTGATTTTTATCCGGGAAAATTTTTTTCTTACAAGGGTCAATTTCCTACCTTTTACCCCTTACCCCAAAAACAAAAAGGGGGCATTTTGGGCACTCAATCACCTACCAAATTTTAAGTTTTCCCAGTTTTAAGGGGTTTTTTTATTATTCCCCGGGAAAACCCTTTTACCCAAAGTAATGTCCCTTTACCCTTTACCCCTTTACCCCAAAACAAAAGGGGGCATTTATGATCAAAGACCAAAACACCATAAACCCAATTTGAAGTTCCCAGCCTTAATTTTTTAATATTTAAACCCGGAAAACGTTTTTGCTTACAAATCAATTTTACCTTGACCTTTACCCCCTTCCCCAAAACAATATTTTTTCTACTTGGGGATGACCAAAACCCCATACCCAATTTAAGTTTCCCAAATCCTAATTCTTTTTTATCATCGGAAAACCAAAT